CGCGTTGTGTTTTTCGGTGCCTGTACCCATCAACATCATCCCTTGAGCTTGGAGTACATAAGGACATAAGGGGGAAAAGAATGAGACATACAACAACCCTATGCACCGTCGCACTACAAACACCCCCCGTGATAGCCTCAAACCCCTGCTGAATATTCACCACTAGTGCCCCCTCATCCTGAAGCGGGGGGACATCGATCCAGTCACCGCGTTTATTAAGGACTTGTAATCCACCCGTCGTATCTTGGGATAGGAAGGTGAATAAGCCAGTGGAGTCTTTATGTGGCCCTACGCCTTGGGATTTGTCTTCCCCAGAGGAGGAGGATTGAGGTGGGTATTTGATGAACTTGAGTCTGTCCATGGTTCCTCTGTACGTGTCGAACGTTGTCGGCGGAAGAGAGAGGGATTCGGCAACGTATTGGAGGAAGGTGTTGCTTAATGGGATGAAAGAAGTTATGTATTCTTCTACGAGGGATTGGATGGCTGGTGTAGGGTATTGGTTTTGGCCTTCGAGGCGGGACCAGATTGGTGCTGTTTGAGGGTTGGAAGGGGGGAGGTTGGGGGTGCCGAAGTCGAATTGCTAGTTGGGTGGTGGTTTGTTAGGGTATGCGTTGTGAGTAGGATGGCGACAAAGGGAAAAGGGGGAATACTTCTCGCATATCGGTTTTGAGTGCGGTGGTTTCGGCCCCGAGACGCGTGTAGCCTAGGAAGGAGGGCGAGTTGATCATGTTGACTTGCTCTTTGGTTTCGGATGGGAGGGAGAAGAGGTCTGGAAGGGTAGCGTGGGCGCGTTTGGTGAGGGACTGTGGTGGTTGTTCTTTTAGTATGTTGTACGTTGTCGAATATGGGGACTGGTGGTGGTTGGCTGCGACTTACTTCCAATCCATGGTTCGTGAGATACAGGAAGCCTACGAGGAAGATGGCGTCGCGGAGCTGGGCGAGGGTTTCTGCTTTAGTTTCTGGGTCTTGAAGACGCTGGAAGTCGATGATGGGGACAGAGGTGAAGTTGGACATTGTGATGGCAATGGCGATGGCGATGTTGGTGATGAAGTGGTGAGGGGAAGTGAGGGGAAATGAACGGATGTCATTGTTAGCGCTGAGTAATAAGGTGATGGTTTACTGCCGATGCAGATGGCGTGATCTGACTGGCTCTATACATGACTATATCGCAGAGAATGTGAAGAGGATGAAGGCAGATGATGCTGACGATGCTGTTGGTTTCCGTTTTCTCGTTTTCTTCTAAAGGGAAAAATCTGGATTGACTTTGCAAGTGAGATGGATTGTATGGAAATGGTTTATTGGTCAAGATGGCTTACAGCTCAGACCTAGCTAACAGAGGTAGTAGCTACTCACTAGGAAAGCTGGAGGAAAGCCAAAGGAAAAGAGGATAGTTGAAGAGACGGCATCGATCTCAGTACCCCGGCTTAATCTCGGTAATGCCATCATGCTGACACTACTATTCTAGCGGTGTGCCCTCCACGCCCACAATGTATCAGAAGCACTACTATACTTTGCCACTTCGGCTGCTATGCGAAATGACCGCATCGCATATATTACGTCCAGACTAGAGGTGGAAGAATTCAGCAAGCGTCGTCAAACCGCCGTGATGTCAAGTACCGAAAGAGACTCGGTCATAAGCCTGCATACCTTCGTCGCCTCCGGCATTGCCGACGAACTGTCAACTAATTAAGACGACCCCCAATCGACACACCTAGACCATGCACATGATATATTAGCTACTTCACATATTTACCATAGGTGGAGAATCAGAGTCACTCAAGAACAGCCAAGAACTGAGCTCTCCTGCCATCAATCATCTGAAGACGGCGCTTAAATCGTAGCCAAACGGGCAGCAAAGGAACGGATGAAACGGAGCCATCCGAAGGTGGAAGTGGACGCTCTCCATTGCCGAGAACGACCGGTGCTTGGCCTTCTTGTTTCTGCTGAACCGTGGCTTGATGTCCCCGGGGTTGGCAGATTATTGTTGAACGTGGTCATGAGCCGCGGAAGCAGTATCCTCTAAGCCGCACCAAACGACACTTTAGCATGGCTTGAATCTATTCTTTGATCCATGGGAAGGTAAAACTCTGACGTTTACGAGCTTTGCTGCGTCAAGGGAGCTTGATCAATGCTGAACATATGACCGGCACTCCACGGAACCGTGCCACTGTGGAGGATAACCCCTGATTGATTAATCTTGCCAAGTTATTCTGCTCCTTCGGCTCCCACAAAATGACTCGTACAACCACTCAGAATCCTCCGGGGGCATGTCCAGACGCGCCAAGCATCGCAGCCGGTGTTCCTGAGCGGACACTAGTCGTGAATGGCACGGACAGTTCCACCGCACAGCCACGATGGACCCAGACTTTAGCTCTCTTGGCAACATCGCTGAAACGCCAAGTGCCGTTGGTGGAATTCAGCTCCCAGCATAATATCCACCTCTGGACAACGTCTTTCCTCACTATGCTCCCTCTCTGCCATGCGAGTGGTGCGACCAGCTTCATCCGTACGGGGCTTGACCGGCATCTTGGCAGTCGCATCCAAAGAACCTGCAGCTTCACCTCGTCACGGTTGCTATGCTAAAGTCCACCTATGAATGTATCCAGCCAAGCCTGGAGACAGTCCTGATGCTTGAAGTGATTTCATTCTGTCTTAGAGCTCCCAATGCCGCCGACTCATCCATATAAAGGGAACAGGTAGGCCCTGAACGATATCCCAAATCAAGCCCTCACATCCTCTTTCCTTCTTTCATCCCCAACTACCTTTCCATTCTTTTCTCTCTCCTAATCAAAATGACCAACTTCAAGTGGATTGTTGCCGCTGCCGGCCTCCTGTCTGGACAGGTCCTGGCTGCCCCTACTGCCACTTCTACCCATGCTAAGCGCGCAACCGTCAGCGACGTGAGTACCTTCTTTTGGAAAACGTCACAGAAATTAACCTTTGCAGGCTGCGTTCGGCTATGCTAGCATGAACGGCGGCACCACCGGTGGTGCCGGCGGTACTACCACTACCGTCTCGTCCTACGCTGCCTTTACCTCCGCTGTCTCTGGCGATGACGCCAAGGTCGTCTACGTCGACGGCACCATCAAGGAGACTGCCGACCAGGTCAAGATCGGCAGCAACACCTCCATCATTGGCAAGGATGCCAACGCTATCCTTGAAGGATTCGGAGTGTAAGCACACCCCGGCAATGAAGAGTTGAACCGAGCTGACATGCAATAGTCTCGTCAAGGAGAAGGAGAACGTTATCATCCGCAACCTCGGAGTCACCAAGGTCCTCGCTGACAACGGCGATGCCATTGGTGTCCGTACGTGACATCCACCCATTATACAACTTATGATATACTAATTTAAGCAGAGTACTCCAACAACGTCTGGATCGACCACTGCGATGTCTCTTCCGACCGTGACCACGACAAGGACTACTATGACGGTCTGATTGATGTACGTAACCCACAATCACACCCACACCCAAACCATTTCACTAACAAACAACCAGATTACCCACGGATCCGACTACGTCACCGTCTCCAACACCTTCATCCACGACCACTGGAAGGCCTCCCTGGTCGGCCACTCCGACAGCAACGAGGACGAGGACAGCGGCCACCTGACCGTCACCTATGCCAACAACTACTGGTACAACGTCAACTCCCGCGCTCCCTCTTTCCGCTTCGGTACCGGCCACATCTACAACAGCTACTACCTTGACGTGAGCGACGGCATCAACACCCGCGATGGCGCCCAGCTGCTCGTCGAGTCCAACCAGTTCGTCGACTCCAAGAAGGCCCTCTATTCCACCGATGATGGCTACGCCGTCTCCAACGACAACGACTTCGGTGACGCCAAGAGCACTGCTGAGGAGGGCACCCTGACTTCCATGCCTTATGACTACACCCTCCTTGGCTCTGCCAATGTCAAGGCTGCTGTTGTCGGCACTGCCGGTCAGACTCTCACTTTCTAAGCGTGCTGCGATACTTTTGGGATATTAGTGCAGTAGGGTGAAGTTGACTATATCTTTGTCACTCTTTCTTTTATCTTGGTACCTGCAGGACAGCTATTTGGGCCCTAGCTTGTGAAGTACTCTAGGGTCGGTATATAGTTATTGCTCGAATTGAGATTAATTGAGGCAACAATCGTACTTACCGTAGACTATTGCGCATAATACACAATTCGCATCACATACATGCACAGGATAAAGCGAGTGTGTGAGCATATCGGCAAATCCTCGGCCTCACTCCATATAGACTAGTACTCCACATTCCACACAACCGGCGAAATCAGACCCACTCGCCCAGCCAGCTTAATCCGTAGAGTATTCCTGATTGAGTTTGCGGTAGACACAAACATCACATCTACTCACTGACCGATTGATAGGGGCCCGTCCCATCACACAACAACCAACGCTAACGAGTGGGGGGCCCCGGGCCTGACTCAAATAGTGCCCTGCACACTATGGTATCTTCCCCTGCTACATCCCTACTACTATTATCACTGCAATAAAAGCAAGACTATAGTAAGCTGTGGTGGAGACAGCAACCGGAAACCAGTTTCCTGAAAGCTTGATTTTGCAATCTTCGGAAACTTCATCGGTTGGATAACGTTAATGCCTCGAATTTGTGTTTTCGGGATACGTTAGTCTTGCTACCTACACCTGCATGTGCATCTGCGGGCTATACTAGGATGGTGGTTGGCTTAAGAAAGACAAAGTTCGAGATTAGTATCCTGATAGGGAACAAGTATCAGACATTCGCCACAATGATACCAAAATTTGGTCGACTGATGATGTGATCATGGTGTTGGACAGCAATACATTACTTAAATTCAATGCATATGGATGGACAAGGATACAGAAATGCGATAGATAGCACCGGATAAGTATAGATCCACGACCAGTGAACTCCGATAAAGATAGAGGAGATGGATATTGTTCTATAGGTCAGATTTGAATTATCTCTAATATCACCATTGCATCCAAAGCTCTAACACATGCATCTATGCTACTGCACCTTCCCCACCCCCCTATCCGCCCTAACCACACAAACAACCGGCCAAACCTGCAACACGACCGCCCCAACCATCAAACAACCCGCAAACACCTGCGCACGAACAAAGTCCGCCGTTTCCAAATTCACTAACGCTCCTGCAACGGGCGTGCCCACTAATGACCCGAACGAACTAATCCCCCACATCATGCCCATCCTCGTTCCGAGGAAGTCACTATCGGGGCAGAATGCCTTGTGAGCGACGATAGACGTCGGCGCTGTGACTAGCACCCCGCTCACAAACCCCCAGTAACAGGCCCAAACAATAAATCCGGCTGTGTTTGTCGTCGCGATCCAGGTAAACATGGCTACTGCTGCTGCCGCGACGAAGGTTATTAGGATGAAGATGGGCTTGATGCGGGTGCCCCCTGAGGCAAGGAGGTAGGGGACTGTTCGGCCGAAGGCGGAGGCGCCGTTGGTAATAGAGACGAGGTAGAAGGAGAGGCTGGTGGGGGTGTTGAGGGCGGAGCGGGCGTAAGTGGCGATGTAGAAGATGGGAACGTAGTAAGCGAGCATGACACATGTCATAGATAGGGAAAGGAGCATGAAGGGGAGGTGAGTCAGGGCTTTGAGTTCGATGAGGCTTCTAGTGCGCGTTTTCTTGCCTGGTCGACGGCAGAGGATAGCGCAGGTGATGAGGGCGAGGAAGAGGTTGATGAATGCGATGCAGCGGACGCTCCAGGCGAAGTTGATGATGGGTTGGACTTGGCGGAAGAGGATGGGGAAGATGACGCTGCCGACGCTGGAGCCGATCGAGGCGCAGCCGATAGCGATGGGCCGCCTAGTTGTAAAGTACGATGAGATGACGACCATCGCGGGGATGTAGGTGATGCCGCCGCCTATGCCGACACAGAAGCCCTGTGCGAGGAGGACCTGATAGTATTCTGTTGCTAGGCTGAGCATCATCATTCCGAACACGACTAGGAAGGATCCGGTGAGGATCAGAGGCCGGAGGTATCCTGCATCGACGAGAGGGCCGGTCACCATGCCGACCATCACGATCAGGGTGGCTTGAATACTGCCGATCCAGGAGATCGTGGAGGGTGATTCGTCCGGGAGCAGAACCGTTTGGTAGAATTCTTGGAATGCGCCATAGCAGCTGATGAGGCCCCTGCTGGGGGTTAGGACTGCTTGGGCGTGACTGGTGATGGGGATGTAGGTACGTACCAAGAGTTGACGAAAACACAGAAGCCCGCGAGTACGCTGAGCCAGCCTTCCAGCCCTCCGTCGGGCACTGGTTGCCTCTCTGGACTAGCCTCGGCTGGGGCTTGATGTTCGTTATGCTCGACGGAAAATTCGTCTGGAGCGCCTAGCCCCTCATTCTGTGTGCCCATGTCCGTTGTAATCTAGGTCTATTCTATTCTGTGCATGTAGTCTACAAGGAAGAGATAAAACGTGAAAAGGATACTTGTCAGAAGCCTCAAATGACCAAAATGTCGGGCATAAGCTCGGTTAGATGGCAGAATGGTTCCTACCCCAACTTTCGGTTCCCCGCAACGGCAAATGTGGAGTTGGAGTCGAGATTGGGGGAACCCTTGGCGTCCCAGTCCCTGGAGTGGCAAAGCCCTTTGCCGGGGGTCGCCGGAAGGATAGGGTTGACTATATTCTGGCTTATGTACGTCGAATCCCGTGATACTACTCTAATGGTCGTAGTTGCTAACCAGCGGAGGACTTGGATTTGAACAACGCGAATTACATAGACATTGCGAGATTTAAGATCTAATAATGTCGACACACTAATCGCTCAACCAAAAACGGCATATCGCATCTAGCCAGCCATGTGACAGAAATGCGTGTCCCAACAAAGGATATATAGCATGATGACATCTAAAACAATAGCAAATTGTTGCCAAACTGGGTGTGCATATCCATCCAGCTATTACAGCCTCAATATTATGGCCTCAATCTGCTGCATACGGGGGCGGGCGTGATCGAACAAACCGAGTTCATCTCAACAAGGTCGAATCAATCGGTCCGAATTAGGGTGATTCTCCCTTGACGCTATCATGGTGGGTGACATGAAAGCCTCATTCCTGCATTCATCTTTCAGTGCAAGGTCACAATACAAAAACAATTTCTTTTCGCCAAACTCACCTCATTTTCCCCCCCATCGCGCACAGCAATATCCTCCAGGGTCAGGGCCGGCCTCGTACCGATCGCACGCAAACCCTGAGCACCTTGCTCGACGAGCGAGTCGTAGGTGACCAGGAAAGCATAAACACTATTTATATGGTTTTCATTATCCTCGTTCATGTCCTCCGCCGCAATACTCATAGTGTCACAGGCCATCATCATGCACTGCAATAGGAACTCATCATCTTCTGTATCAATGCCGCGATTTTTAGGCGAAAGCACGATCGTAATCCCTGCGTCTATATATAGCCGGTAATAAATGCCGGTCGCATTGAGACAGAATAAAAAGGAATCTGCGACGCCTTGGTGAAGGTCCCCCGGCCCGAGAATCGTGATGTTGGCAGCTGCAGTGAATTGCACCAATGCAGCTATGAGAGATGGCCAGTGATAAGATCGCATGGTTGGCGTCGAATATGGATTGATAGTGGTGCGAAAATAAGTCAGAAACTAGGCCTGCTCTAGTATCCTTCGATGACCTTTACAAAGGTGCCAGAGGGGAATGCAGCCTGCTAGAATCTCTTGACTCGACACATAAAGCAAGCATTCACTGTGAGATAACACAACAGAGAGATATGACCATGTGGAAATATAAATACTCTACAGACTTGCCAATTGTTGTTCGTTAGGTCTCAAGGCTGGTAGCGATTACATGTTTCGAGAGCGGAGGTTTGCATGGCCCCACCCACAGTTGGTACGAAAACGGGTCAACTGTCATATCTAGATGACTCACTCAAGGTAAATTCAAGTGGGAGCATGCTTACATGAACTACTGGCGCAGAAGCTAAGGAGAGGCCCGGTACGAACCTCTACCGCAAAGGGAGCAGCGTCCACTAGTGGGCGAGTCGATGACCGGCAACTCTAGTCAATCTTCATCGCGCTGGATATTGAACTACAATATCTTTCTCGCGCGCAGTCTGCGGGCTCCTCGCCCATTATACACTAACTCCAACAGGAGCTATCGCCGACCAGCCGGTGTACTAGCTCATAGATAAGGCCACGATGGAGGCTCCTAGTACCCACATCCGCAGTACTTAGAGCCTTAGCAAAGATCGCGACACGTCATCCGACTAGGCAGCATCTGAATACCAGAATGCTTAGCCAGGGCCAGCATAGTTACATTGAAATGCTAGTGCGGCTGACTAACCCATAAGTGGCTAACTAAATTATGTTCACGATTGTCGTCATGTTGGAAGGCCTGCTATTCGCTGTGCAAGGGACTTAATATTGCGAATAACTATAGACGATGAAGATATAATAGGGATTAAATCTTACAATGTTATTCTCACGATCAGATGGTGGGTTTGTCATTAAATCAAGGGTAGGCTCCCCTCACATCCACAACCCTGCCATATGATCTTCCTCCCCAGCCTGTCAAGCGGTGCAAACAAACAAAGCATATATGAAACAATTGATAATTTGAAGGGAACGTAATCTCTGCGGGCTTTAAGCACAGCAACAAAGGCCTTAGAAGGCTTTAGTTGATAAAGGACCGCCAGAAAGACATCTATTGGTTTAAGATTATCAGCGATCGTACAGTTATAAGTTTGCTTGTCAGAATGCTTTGTGGGACTTTTAAAAAGGCCCTCCTTTACAAAAAGCACAGTAAGATCTTTTGGTCATCGTTCAGAAGGCCTTATCGGTATTATGAATCCGAGCTTCACCAGGAACTTACCTTTACAGGCACTTTCAGGTAGTTACCATCGTTGTGGCGGGGAAGAGGTCTATTGGATACACCCCTTGGTATCTTATTCAATGTAAAACTGCCATGATAGCTAAAATTGTCGGGAATCCAAGTTCAAATAGCTTTTCAAGCAAGGCACATCCCACTTGATTTGGGGTCGACGTCAATCCTACCCGCGCTCTTTGTCGGTCGGCTTTCAAGAACCATATCTTCAGCATTTCGACCTTCACTTTGAATTTGTGCTTCCCAGGGATCATCAATTCTTCGGGAAGTACCATCCGTTATCTATGTCAACATGATCACTCAAGTACAACTTTTTTCCAAGCTACCACATCAGGCATTCGATCTTCAAGCAACGAACGCCATTATCTTGGACGGCCTGTGCCTTTTGCTAAAGACAGCACTCGGAATACTGGAATGGTCCGTATATCAAAAAGCAAGCTGGCTTATCGTCAGTCAGTTTCTTTGATGACTTGCCAGTAAGAGAGCACCTAGCGCATACCAAGCGATTGAAATGTAACTACTTAATATATATTTATATGACTGAATAGGCACCTCATTTTCTTCACAACAAACACCATCATACTACATCTTACTATCCCCATCCCATACATCAGGCCGACAAACGAACTCATTCAGAATGCTCGGCGAACTACCTGGCGATGTACTGCAGTGCATCGCAGACTGGCTAGAAGGTGGAGATCTGAACAATCTGGCGAGAACAAGCACTCATTTCTATCAATACATCAACCCCTTCCTGTATCACTGGAACATGCATCATCCTTACCCACAGGCATTGATCTGGGCTGCAAGCAATGCACAAGAGATAACAGCTCGAATGTCACTATCAAAAAAAAAAACACGCCAGAATCATTCACAGCTGCGCAAATTGCTTTATCGACAGCAGCTGAGTTAGGGCATGAGCATATTGTGAGACTCATCCTTTCCACGGAGGGCATCAAGCCTGACGTCAGAGGATCATGGAACGCCCCACTCTACTGCGCAGCGGCGAAAGGGCATGAAGGTGTAGTGAGAATGCTACTCGACTTGAAGGACGTCAACCCCGACCAGGAAGGCGACTGGGGTGATACGCCGTTGCGCGCGGCAGCAGAATCTGGGCACCTAGATGTAGTCAAGTTGCTTCTTGCTACCAAGCGAGTAAATCCGAATTATCAATGCTTTCATGGAAAGACCCCGTTACTCAAAGCAGCAGCAGGAAACCATCAGGAAACGGTGATGTTACTACTTGCGACTGAAGGGGTTGATCCTCATTTACGGGATGGATATGGCGTATCTATCCTGTCGTTGGCGGCAAAACATGGCCATGAAGAGGTGGTTAGAATTCTGCTTGCTACGCAGGGTGTCCATCAAGATTTAAGAGACTTGTACAACGTGAGTCCATTGGCTGAAGCGGCACGTGCTGGAGAAGTAAAAATAGTCACCATGCTGCTCAACACAGGAAGGGTGGACCCTAACTCTTCCTCCAGTACTGGAGAGACCCCACTTTCTCGAGCAGCAGAGCGTGGTGATGCGTCAATCGTCAAGTTACTTATTACTGCAGGTGCAGACACTCATATGGAAAATGATTATGGATCAGGACCACTCCTACGCGCTGCTGGATCCGGAGATTTGGAAACCGTTGAAGCGCTTATAGCTGCAGGTGCGAGTTTTAACACCCAGGATAGCCATGAAGATACAGCACTCATGTATGCTGCGGAATCTGGAAACGTGGAAGTTGTCAAAGCGCTTCTCGCTGCAGGTGCAGAATTCCATATCCGCAATGTAGAAGGAGCAACGCCACTTTTCTGCGCTGTACAGGAAAGAAAATCGGAAATGGTCAAGTTTCTTATTTCTGCGGGTGCAGATGTTAACGTCCTGTTTCAGTTTGGGAGAACAGCCCTCACTATGGCTTGTGGTGGTCAATATAATGCGGGGACAGACGTGGAGAGAGTTGAAGCGCTTATTGCCGCAGGAGCAGCACTTGACACAAGACCAGAGACATGGAAACACAGCCTTTGCAATCGCGACTGTGTGCGGGGCCTTGGAGGTGGTAAACATGCTGATTTCTGCAGGCGCCACGCCTGACATTGCGGACAATGCAGGAGACACTCCTCTGTTAAAGGCGTCAAGATTGGGTGATTCGAAAATGGTAAAGCTTCTACTCAAAGGAGGAGCAAATCCAAGCATTCCCGATGGTAATGGACGAACACCCCTCCACAACATAGCATGGAGGCGTCTCATGGACCAAGTTGAACTGTTCAAAGTCCTTCTTGATGCAGGTGCGAATGTCGATGTGCAAAGCAGGGATGGTTCGACGCCGTTAGCGATGGCATTAGGACACTGTAGTCCGGAGGCGGTGAAACTTTTACTTTCAGCGGGGGCAGACCCAAACCGTGGGCATTATAATGGGCTTCCACCCCTACCATGTGCAGCGGTTCGTGGCGACGTGGAGTTTGTGAGAATACTTCTTGCCGCAGAAGGAATCAATCCGTACTTGCAGGATAAGAATGGGAAGTCAGCGCTGGCGCTAGCCCAAGAAAAAGGTCATACAGCTGTGGCCGAGCTTATAAGGCAGCACATTGAGCGTATGGAGCATGCCCCTTGAAGCTGCTATTGATTATTCTGATTGGTGTTCTTGTTATATACCTATTCTGAGTGGATAAAAATGAAGTTACGCTTTTGTTGAAGTTCCTCGTAAAATCACGGAAGATGTTGTAGTCCTCAGAATAAGATGACAAAATAGTACATTCACACACGCTGATTCCCTACCTGGACCGATTACGGCGATGATCGCCCACAATGTCCCCGCTTCATCCCTTAAAAGCGGAAATTGCTGGCTGCTCAACCTCAACCCCAGCGCAGTTCCTGGCCTAAGATCAGCCGAGAAAACCCCGATATAACTTACTAGTGAGCATATAAAACTCCAAGTCCCCCCACACTTCAACTACTAACATAACATTACTTTCGCCATGGGCACCATCCCAATGGCCCACAACATGTCTGTCACCGGCGTGCAGCCCGAGTTCTCCCAGGCCACCACAGGATTCGAGTACTACGATAGTCGATTCTTAAACATCACAGGCAATGCTCCAAAACTAGAAGTTCTTCTAGAGAACAATGACTTCCCATTTGCCCATGAAGCAAGTGTCTTTATCCCATCAACAGACGAACTATTCATGACTAGCAACATCTTCACGGATCCCCTCACCAACCAGTCAACAATCAAGGTCTCCAAAGTATCCCTTAGCAGCAACCCAGTAACATCAGCAATAATCAATACCACCATTCCTCTTCCCAACGGAGGTATCAACCACGAGTCTGGAATCCTTTTCTGCGGCCAAGGCACGCTCAACCAATCTGGGGGTCTATTCCAAATGTCAATCGACCCACCATATGAATCCGAGCTCCTAATCAGTGGTTTCTACGGTCGGAATTTTAATTCCCTGAATGATGTGGCCGTTCACAGCGATGGCTCTATCTGGTTCACTGATCCCACGTATGGATATGAGCAGGGGATCCGCCCTGCGCCGCAACTGCCAAACCAAGTTTATCGCTATGATCCGAGTACAGGGGATGTGCGCGTCATTTCCGATGGATTTGGTCGTCCGAATGGCATTTCTTTCTCTCCTGATGAGAAAATAGTATACATTACTGATACGGCGTATACGGTTGGTGATGGGACGACGGATCCTACTAAGCCTTCCACTATGTATGTCATTTCCCCTTCCCCACCCTATTGATTACTTATCGTTATCCTTTATGTTCGCAAGTATGGTATACCATCTTACGTTCATGGTTGGCTGATATGGAATCATGCAGCTATGCATTCGACATCACCACCTATCACGGCCAGCCATTCCTGACCAATCGTCGCGTCTTCGCGATGGCAGCAAACGGTATTCCAGATGGAATCAAGACCGATATGGAAGGCAATGTGTACGCTGGCTGCGGGGACGGGGTAAACGTCTGGTCGCCCGGTGGTGTCTTGTTAGGGAAGATTTACATCAAGAGCGGCGTGGCTAATTTTTCCTTTGGCCGCAATGGGCGGATGTTTATTATGAATGAAAACCGGCTGTTGTCTGCGCAGCTCGGGCATTGGGTGAAGGGGTCGATCTTGAAGATTTGAAGGAGTGGGGATGATTTGGTCCTTTTGCTGAGGTGGGGGTGCATGCAGTGTGGTATTATATGTTCGACGGCATTGGGAAAGCATTATCTACTGAGCTGAGGTTTGCTTTGTAATATATCCCGCATGAAGGAGCGCGTCTTTGTGTCCTTAAAAAATGTTGATCACGAAGTCAATGCATAAATTGCAAACCAGAGATGACACTAAGAAAGCAGCAAGGGCTTTATTGGTGGTATTCAAATGTGATATGGTGTGTGTATGATCAAATAATGTTTCGAAATTCACCGATTGTCATTACATCAAATGGTTTTACATTTATGCGTTGAAAGGCAGCGAAGACATGTCTTCAATTATTTAGAGTTTGATCACACTAGACTGTATAGGTCCTTCCTAGGTACATTGTTTCCTCCAGTGCCACATCTAGATATAGCCTTTTTAGCTCTTTGCTCCAGTGCGAAATACTCCCATGTCTCCATATTCGCTTAATCAAGTAGTTGCCGCTGTCTGTGTATTACCATCTGCAGAGCAAGGATTTGCCTTTCCATGTGTGCGCATATGGAATATATCGGCTGAGTATATCATGAATGCTGGTAGGCATAACAAGATCCCGAGCTTCAGGTACTCAGCGTCCATTAGAATAGTCTATGTCGGGCAAATGATGTAGGCACTTATAGGATGCGCATATGAGGTCGGAGATAAAAACTGGACGCAATGCATGGATGGTATATCATAGGCAGCAAAGACAGGGGCGCTGCCTTGGTGAGATTGACGTGAGACCAGAAACTTTAGGTATTTGCCAACATAGGTCGGACATTCGTAAACCAAGCGCAACTACAGGAATCAATGTGATATGGTCAGGGATTCCAGAATGCCAAGAAGCCCAAATCCTTGAGTACTCTGTGGCACGAGCACAGGGCAAATCAGTTCGGCATCCAGGGTTCAGAGAACAAAGTGGAGCCGGCATGTTATTGTTCATCCCGAGTACGAACATCCTATTCGGGAAGAGCCACTCGGCCGTCGCCCGACTTGGGCTCCACCATCCCTAAACCCCCTGCCCAAATCGATGTCATTAAGGTTGGAATGATATGGGTTACCCAGTCCAGGCTGAAAAGCTGGGTATAAAAGGAAGGATGAATCGGAGGATTGCAGTCTGCGACACTCATTTCATTTCATACACTCGTTCCTGGCTCACATTCCTTTAGCGGCCATGTCAAACTTTTCCATTTGCTCGCCTGCAGCCATTCAGACCCCGGTCGTGTACGGGGCTGAGATCATTTCTCTTTCTACATCTTGGGTCACCAATTACACCGATTACATTCCGTACACGTTCAACTACAATGGAGGTACTGTTGAACTCGAAAATGCCAAGTTCTGCAACATTACCGTGAAATATACCCATCCCGGCTATGAGGATAATATCACTGTCGAGACCTGGCTTCCCGAACCGGCCAACTGGAACGGCCGCCTTCAAGCAACAGGAGGTGGCGGATGGGCTGCTGGCCGGTTTGTGCTGTCCGAATTCTTCATGGGAGGTGCACTTGGGGAAGGATTTGCTGCCACCACCACCGATGCTGGACTGGGCAAGGATACTACAGGACCTCGTGAATGGGCGCTCACCAGTCCGGGCAATGTCGATTGGGTTGCAGTGGAAAATTTCGGATCCCGGGCCTACCATGACCAAGCCATCATTGGAAAGAGCCTGGTGAACAGCTTCTACGGTCGTGCTCCTGACTATTCCTACTGGAGCGGTTGCTCACAAGGAGGCCGGCAGGGAATGATGATCGCTGAGCGCTATCCCACTGCATACGATGGTATTGCTGCCTCAGCTCCCGCACAATCCTTCACCAAGTTTACTTCCTCGCTGTACTATGCTCTTTTCATGCGCATCTGGCACAACTTAAACCCTCTCGTCTGCGAACTGGGCTTCCTGACACACGAGGCTATTACCTACTGTGATCCCCTTGATGGAGTGGTAGATGGACTTATCTCGAACATGACCGCTTGTAACTACGATCCCTATACCGCCGTGAACAAAACATTCACCTGTGACTCCTTGAACCGCACTATCGCACTGAGTCAGGGTGCCGCAGTCATCATTGATGCTGCCTGGTCGGGCGCGCAGACCACTGACGGCCACCAGCTCTGGTATGGCTACAACCCGGGGTCCGACATTGGTAGTACCTTTGGTGCTCAACCGGGATTCAACAGCTCATCGTTCGCCACCGTGAATGATGAATGGTTCAATCTCTTCGTCGCTAAGAATATCAGTTTCGATACCATGGGTTTGAGCCACGAGGGGTACCAGGAGTTTTTCAACCTCATCACTTCGGAATATGGTAGCGCCTGGAACGCAGACGACGCGAACTTGCATGCCTTCAAGAACAATGGAGGCAAGCTCCTGACCTACCACGGCATGGTATGTCTTTTGCCCTTCCTCTCCCACCTTCCCCCGGTTTGCCAAAACCTGACAGCAGTAACTAACCCATCACGCTTTTACCAAACAGGCCGATCCCAGCATCCCCACCAAAGGTACAGAATATCTCTACAACAAGGCTCGGGCGCTCTTCCCGGATATTCATGACTTCTGGCGCTTTTTCGAGTCGCCGGGTCTCGGTCACTGCGCCGGCGGCCTCAGTGGCCAGCCCACCACGGTCATGAAGGCTCTCCAGCGTTGGGTCGAAAATGGCACAGCCCCGGACACATTGCCTGTAGAATACCCGTCGCTCGGAAATGGTCTCCATCGCAACTTGTGCCCCTATCCTTCCCAGATTGAATACGTTGGCGGCAATATTTCTTTGGCTGAAAGCTTCCGTTGCACCTAAGTGATGCGGAAGATGCTACGTTGTGTCTCTGATTAGCTACGATTAGCCTTTCGGATTCTTACATTCCTTCACCGGCAGGGATATATTTCTTCTTCGTGTACTGTGCGCTTAATCACATTCCAATTGTATCTAGCTTATGTATTATATCGATATTGTCTTTTGCAAGCCAGTGTTCGGATCTGAAAGTAAAAGCCATGACAAGGGAAAAAATATAGAAGCAGAACTGTGCCTTTTCTCGAAATATCGTGATCCCAACATAAAGAAGCCGGTTAAGGTGCCCGACAGTCCGGGTCAAGAACGTGTTCAGAGATTTATCTCCGTCAACTAACGCAGACAGTACGACAGCACCAATAGGGGGTCTCGGATTCGAGACGAGGTCCGAAGAATAATGCGCTTCTTTTTTTCCACTTTGTTCGAATATCACTAGCTTGATATATTGTACGCAAAAAGAGGGTCACGAATAGAAGTTCTCTTGAGCAATTAGTCCAAAATTTGCCGTAATATTGAACGACAATCTCTCTACGGAACCCTGTCAGCAGAATTTTCATCTAGATGTTTTGTGTCTTCCCAATCAAGGTCAACGGGTGAGTGGGATGGCATCACGTGGTAGAAGTTTTGACTTTTAATGCCAGCCCCGGTGGACCCTGATAAATGGTTTGACTCACAGGGCTGAAATTCAGGGTCTATGAAATACAAATGAATTCTTGCATCAAGCCAATCAGTAAAGCTGCCTATAAAGCTGTGGGTCTTATTACTTGGTGGATACAACGGGCTGACCAATTCGATTGAGCTGGCTCCCAGGACTCAGCTTCTTTTATGAGGTGGAGTAGGTGATTTTTTCCCCGATTGGTGATGTTTTTTGGCTTCAGGTACTTGGCTCAATTTTCATCCCTTTCCGAGGCTTGTATGTTCCTCCTATGTTTATCCGTAGACAACACGACTTTTCACCTTGGATTTCCACGTCTTGCAGTTCTGTATGGCATGCATAGAAGAGATCCATGAATCCTTAGCAAGTCGTGAATGTTGTCTTATGGCACGAGCTGAGACAGACTGCGCCCTACTATGTGTTTGTTACATAACCATGAATATCAGCCCAGGAGGCGTTCGATCTCGTAGAAGATCGCTAGTTGCGACTAGATCCTCACCATGGGTTTCATAGTGGATCTGCTGTGGAGTTGATGGCTCCATGCAGGTGAAAGATACTCAATAACGCTTTCCTGCTCTATGGCACTAATATCGCTATCATAGTTCTGCAGACCCAGGGGTACTACACATATAAAAGGTTCTCCTCGCCATAGAACTCCACGCTCTGCATAATATTCTGATCAGACTCTCAAGGGAACAAGATGAACCTCTTCGATTTTATTCTCATGCCTTTCAGCAAAGCGCATACTTCAGAACCAAAAAGCCATGTCTGGGATCCAGAGACTGTGACCATGCAGAAACCAACTGCTCCTGAACCTCCCAGCACAAAGACTTCGGTATGATACATTCGTGAACAACTCTCTCGACCATAGCGTCAAGGATACTGACCAGCAGCAAAGACAGCGGCCCCAGAATCATCAGATCTGAACTTGCGAGGGGGTGGTGAAGCAGGAGAAGTTTGCTGTGGAGTGTAGGTTTACCCTTGGTGAGTCTTATTTCTTCGCTCCGCCATAGTTTGTATCCTAACTCTTTTAGATGCTGTGGACTCATGTGTTTTGAGCGTTGCTGTGGGGGCGAATAATAACGTTCATGCGAATAGTTTGTGCGAGCCGGCAGATAAATTTTGCGTTAAGTAGATATTGGTCGATGCTTCCATACAGGATTGCCTTGTTCCGCAAGGGACTTAATGTAATATAATTCAATTCAAGATGAACTCACATCTTTGTGTGGCCCGTATAGTAGCTGATGCAGACATGCGAACTATGACTTTTATTTTTTATTTTCTTTTTTAATCAAATGCGTGGCGTAGAAGCAGAGGTTGGAGCCTGACAGAAATGGGGCCGAGTGAAGGCCTTGCTAGTAGGGCTGAATCCGAAAAGGGTGGCGACTCTCACCCTAGAACCCTGCAGTCCCACATATGCCCACCACAACAAGGCTCATTCAACTTTTCCTGTCGAAATACGGAATCAGAGATTCCGCAGGTCCAGACCCTGAAAGAAGTACATCAGTGATCGAATATCTAGAAAGATATTTACTGCTGTGGTCTTGATATTATTGCACAGCAATATTACCGCACACAACATGACCTGGTACTCGACTCCCTAGGCGACTTTTTGTCTAAACAGGTGCATGAGGCTTGTGTCTCACTGTATCTGGTCCAGAGTCTTTCGACTCCTATCAGAGCACAAATCTCGACTGAGCCAAGCGCCCCACGTCAACGTGCGCATAATGATAGTGGGTCAGGTTCGTTTTCCGAAGCTTTAATTTTGCCTAGATTTCCCTTTGCTTTATACGGATTTCGCAGTTCGTATTCGTGTTGATATGTATATGTCTCAGAATGGTATTGGGATAATATATACCAGTATCAGCATTGATAACTACGTAGTTGCAAATAGCAAATCACGGATATTCGCGTGATATGTATTTTTGTGACTCGTAAATAATATTTGAATCATGAACACTGAAATAATGGGTGCCCAGGAAGGCGTATACCCAAACCCCAATATGGGACAATTCATTTAAAATGTCACACTACACAGACCTTTTCGGTGGCCACATCTTATTTCCCGATGATTGCCATCTCAGAATACGGCCTGCAGAGTTATATCGTCCAGTATAAATGACGCTAAATATATTTATCTTCCAATGTCCTTTGATATTTGTGATCTGCTTGGTATGTCCACGGATTAGCTCTAGGAGCCAGTATATCTCAACAGAGGAATTCCTGAAAACTGAAGCTCGGCCACCACTTTGACAGAAACCACGTAACATCCTCTTCGACAGATGTTTCCGCACAGATATACGGATGATCAACGACGGGCGACAATTTATCCCCGCAACAGAAGAGACCCTTCTTCAGATAGTGTCTCATTTATAGCAGTGCGGTCCTCTTTATGCTTCTCAATCAATTCTAAAACGTGCTGGGCTATCTACAGTGGGTCAGATCGTGGATGTTGGGCGTTCTGGTGGGCGCGGCGCGAAGTAGGTTGATCCAGGCAAGCATAATGATTGGGGCAACACAACATTATTTGCAGCAATCCCAGGCATCTCGAGATGATGAGCGACTACCTGCCATGGAGTGGGTGTGTCCAGGTCATCAATTGGCTGGGGAGAGACCTCGGTGGGGAAACAGCATATTGTTCGACATAACCTACAACAGTTATTCGTGTGATAATGAACCTTTTTCACTAGTATGACTCGGGAGAAAGTGCAAAGCTTTTTCCTCATGGGTAAATACCTACAAAATGGCGAACCCTGGTGTAACGTGGACCTGGGCTTGGGGCCGGTCGCACGATGACTTCCGTGCCGTGATGCGTGACGGACAGGCTGAGAGATTAGGAAGCGGATTATGTCCGTATACGTGAAATCGATGGAGCCAAAGCCTCCGCGGTCCGCATAGGGAAGAGATTACTGAAGATAACACAGACAAACTCGTCCTCATGCAGTACGCGACGAGGCATAAGAGGACTCAGGACTCAGGGTGATAAGGCGTCGTTATTTATCATGCGGGTGGGTCTAAAAATAGGGATGACCTTCAGTCAGGACTACGTAGTGGTATTCAGACCCACACGCAATCAAATTCATACCGGAAAACGTTCTCGAAAATGAGCAATCTATTTGGTAGATATAGTTGAAGTCCACCAATATAGCCAGCGCAGGTATGTTGATGTTGCTACAGGCATTAATTTACGCTCATCTGAATTAGTGATTCATCTCGATTGCTGGCGTCCAGCCTCATCAGCAAGTGCCATGCACTCCTAATATCGACGCTTCATTCGCTCACCTCCATGAAGCTGGATATGGAGCAGTGGATCCCCACATGTGAACTTTTGCAAACGTAATGATAAGAAGAACTAAGGACCGCCTCCTCCATCCTTGGGTTTTATGATATGGTCACTTTGTGATGGCATCTGAACCAGAGGGCAAGCAGTAGGACAGAGGTAGGATACCTTTCACCTGTGGTGTCTGGTGGCACTTTGATAAGGTCACGAGCTTAACTGGTTTCTGAGCTGTCCTATGCCGAGAAGTTATTATGGTTACAAAGCCATCTAGGCCATATACGGAGCCCTTGGCACTGTTGTGAATTATACGTATAATGTTTGCTGAATTGACAACGTCAAGTTGATATTTCAACACAACTCAACAGTGACTCGCTTATAGGCCACCAAACGTGAATTTGGATTGCTATATGGAGAGTCATGAACCAGTGGCTTTCCTGCAGCTGCAGATTTGCCAGCATCCTCGAGTAAATTAAGAAGGTACGGTCGTCCGCCGGCGCACGCTGGGCGAGGGGACCATTTAGGTAATCCAGTCCGACTGGAGATGAGTATCCCCGAAACGCTATTTAGTGAGAGCTTTTATCTATGATCATAGGCCGAGATTTCTGCTAGGAAAAACGGAGCACGTCTCCCGTCAAGTCAACTCAACATCGGGTGGTACTAAATTATGATACTTCTCAGTGTATTTTCCAGCGATGGTTTTGCTGCGCAAGGGGCAATGATCTCAAACAGCGGGGCTAAAAGTGTGGAAGCAAACAGAAACACCAAGGAATGGTGTACTTAGAATAATGGGGCTCACGTTCCCAAGTTAATGGGCGAGAAGGTCGTGCAAAGTATGCTATTCTGGTGCCCCCGGAAGACACCCATTCCTGGCAGTTTGGACTAGAGCTATTCTGGAAAGGTTGCTATGGGTATGCTGAAATAATGGCCAATAGTGATGTCCAGACTGGGAGCAATGCCCCTAAATGATGGGGGTATGAATGACTAAGCGGAAGCGCCGATCATCTTGGCAACCAACCTAGTCGTCTACTTAGATCGGGTTGAAGTGTGGAACAGCCGTTATCGGCTCTTCAGACTTACATGGAGCCAAACACGGATTGATGGCCGTGTACGTATGCATTTCCCCTGCTGTATGCCACCCTGATGGCTGTTGAACTAATTGGATTCCGTACCTGGCTTATTGAGTCTCAATATTCACGGATATTACAAGCATGTACGATGTTGTCAACAAAATAACACTCCGTGAGTAGTCCGTCCAAATGTGTCCTTCTTTGAAGCTAGAAACAAGATTGTGATCAGCACAGTTACGTATCAATATCATTTTCTTCACCGCAGGGCTGAACAGGGTCGATTAGGATTCATCTGCCACCCGCGGCCTGGACCAAGTTTTTGTGGCCACGGTGTTTGCGGGTTCCCTGCGGAGTTCGCTGAAGAGGTTAGCACTTAGCAGACTCCGACCATGGGGTGTGTGTGGTATGACGAATCTGTCGACTAATCTAAAACGCTCAAGATGGCTCTCGCTAGGCTCGAAAATAGACATGGGGTCTTCGACCTGCCGCCTTAACATGATACTGAGCTGACGAAGCGTCGACTTGGCACTAACCAGCCATGCCCTAATTGGCTTGGCGCACGAGTTCGCGCAGGAACCGAAAGCTTAGCCTTTGTGAACTGCTTGCTTGGGGCAGAGTAGATCATTTCGCATCGATCATAGACTTCATAGCTTGTATATGTGTCGAATTTTGTTCACCTCTCAGTGACATCTACAATCAGGCAAATGCGAGTGCCGAAAAGGGTCCTAGAAGCCGAGACCCTGGTTGGACCTCTTGTGGCCTGCCAAGGCGCCCGACTGCTCGAGTGGAGATTTACTGACTCCACCCGGATAAGGTTATTACCGCCCTAACATTGGGACCCTCTTGGCGAAGGCCCTGATTAGATGCAGATTAGATGCATCCCATGCCATTGTCGCTGCTACTCCCTGCTACTCGTGGCGGGGTTTCAGCTCCCGTTTGACCAAGTTTGGGAAGCATGCAAGCAGCAATGACCGAGAAACAGGTTATCACTAACACTTCGCTGCGCTGCAATATGAGAAATAGTCTTCATTTGATCACAGCCCCTTCAGGATCTTTCCATCACACTGCGCCCATGACATGCGAAAGCCAGCAGTCACAGTGATCTACTGATGTCACTCAACCCTATGATCTGGATAATACTGTTCCGGGCCGCGCAATCGGGTGACGAGTGTTAGAATCTGAGTTAATTTCTGCTGCAGAATGTCAAGCCTGGTGGGCCCGGCCGATGAATAGCCTTCTCACTCCACCCGCACCACAGGAGATGGCTATCACGGTATGTCCCCAATATTGAGTAGCTGACCGTACTATATAAGACATTCACCCGCCACCCCAAACAAACTTCTTCATCAGACGCTTCAGTCAGTCTTTACAGTCTGCACCTTCGCTCATTCAATCCACCTCCACACTCTTTAGTGACCCTCAACATGCGCAAGTCCACTCGCGCAGTTGTCGCTGCTCTGGCAGCAGCCACTGCTCAGGCTAGTTCCCTGTCCGATCTCTGCACTATTTCCAATGTTCGGTCCGCCCTTCCTTCCAACGGCACCCTCCTGGGAATCAACTTGATCCCCTCCGCCGTCACTGCCAACACCGTCACTGATGCCAGCTCTGGCATGGGTAGCTCCGGCTCCTACGACTACTGCAATGTCACTGTTACCTACACCCACACCGGGAAGGGTGACAAGGTTGTCGTGAAGTACGCCCTGCCCGCTCCTTCCGACTTCAAGAACCGTTTCTACGTTGCTGGTGGTGGTGGTTTCTCCCTGTCCAGCGATGCTACTGGCGGTCTCGAGTACGGTGCTGCCTCCGGCGCCACCGACGCCGGCTACGACGCCTTCTCCTACAGCTATGATGAAGTCGTCCTCTACGGCAACGGCTCGATCAACTGGGATGCTACTTACATGTTCTCCTACCAGGCTCTTGGTGAAATGACCAAGATCGCCAAGCCCCTGACCCGTGGTTTCTACGGTCTCTCCAGCGACAAGAAGATCTACACCTACTACGAGGGCTGTTCCGATGGTGGTCGTGAGGGTATGAGTCAGGTCCAGCGCTGGGGAGATGAATATGACGGTGTCATTGCCGGTGCCCCTGCCTTCCGCTTTGCTCAGCAGCAGGTTCACCACGTCTTCCCTGCCACTATTGAACACACCATGGACTACTACCCTCCCCCTTGCGAACTTGACAAGATCGTGAACGCTACCATCGAAGCCTGTGACCCTCTCGACGGCCGTACTGATGGCGTTGTATCCCGTACTGACCTTTGCATGCTGAACTTCAACCTCACCTCCATCATTGGCGAGTCCTACTACTGCGCTGAACAGAACTACACCTCCCTGGGCTTTGGCTTCAGCAAGCGTGCTGAAGGCAGCACTACTAGCTACCAGCCCGCCCAGAACGGCAGCGTTACCGCTGAGGGTGTTGCTCTCGCCCAGGCCATCTACGACGGTCTTCACGACTCAAACGGCAAGCGTGCCTACCTCTCGTGGCAGATCGCCGCTGAGCTGTCCGATGGTGACACCGAGTACGACTCCACCACTGACTCCTGGACTCTGAGCATCCCCTCTACCGGTGGCGAGTACGTGACAAAGTTCGTGCAGCTCCTCAACATCGATAACCTGGAGAACCTCGACAACGTCACCTACGACACCCTGGTCGACTGGATGAACATCGGTATGCTTCGCTACATTGACAGTCTCCAGACCACCGTCATCGACCTCACCACCTTCAAGGAGTCCGGTGGTAAGATGATCCACTACCACGGTGAATCCGACCCCAGTATCCCTACCGCCTCGTCCGTCCACTACTGGCAGGCTGTCCGTCAGGCCATGTACCCCAACACCACCTACACCCAGTCCCTGCAGGATATGTCCGACTGGTACCAGCTCTACCTCGTCCCCGGCGCTGCTCACTGCGGTACCAACTCCCTCCAGCCTGGTCCTTACCCCGAGGACAACATGGAGATCATGATCGACTGGGTTGAGAACGGCAACAAGCCTTCCCGCCTCAACGCCACCGTCTCCTCCGGTACCTATGCTGGTGAGACCCAGATGCTTTGCCAGTGGCCTTCTCGTCCCCTCTGGAACAGCAACTCCAGCTTCTCTTGTGTTCACGATTCCAAGTCCCTTGCTACTTGGGACTACACTTTTGATGCTTTCAAGATGCCCGTTTTCTAAGCGGGTTGACTGAGAAAATATGGATCTTGAAAGGTCCTTTGATAGGAACTCTATCCGTTTGTATGTAGTATCTTCGCTGCGATAGTCGTTGTACTTCTTCTACCTTTTGTGTCTTCTTTAATCTGTATACGTGTGAAGAAGACTTTTACTAGCTTACTTAGTCAAAAATATTACTTGACTTTATATAACATTTATTACTATTTGAAATTGAACACGTCTTCATGCAGTTTAATGCATGTAGAAACTGTGCACGAGCAGTTTCAGAATATGTCTGCGGGTTATGAGAACAGAGACAACATTTGTAAGTAATCAAGCTAGCCAATCCCGAAATCCATCCGTGATAAGCGAAAACAAAGTAATTGGCGCACCCACTCCCACCATACACCAACAAATTACAGCAATCCGAACAAAATCATTCTTTGCGATATCTTTAGCCTTCACAATCCTTGGTCTTGTTCTTCATGGCCCGTCTCTCCCATATTTTAGACCATATCTGGGAATATCGGACGTTCTAATAACGCATTAGCACAGGTCTTGTACTGAAGCAGAAGAAAAAAGGGGGGTTTTTACATAGGGCCAGTAAGGAAGGGGAAGGAGGGGAGTGGGTGGAGAATTCTGAGAACAACTGGAACTAACCTGATCTGAAACCTTCCACAAGGCATAGGTCAAAAGAAGGGATGCGGCGCCGAACACGATATACCAGCGCCAGTCAGGGTTGCTTTGCAGCGCGTTGACGTTCATGCCAAAGAGACTCTGTTGCTATCAGCCGGGGCAGACAACAGCATAAAAGGAAAGAAGAAATAAAACTCAGTTGACGCTACTACTTACCGATGCAAACATCAATGGTAAGAAGATAAACTGCCCTCGTCAGCAATGTAACTAGAGAAAGCCAATGTATCGTCTTACAGTGATTAGACTGATACGTCTCATGAAAACCGTTTCTTCAACGGAAAGCCTAGCAAATTCCTGATACTGTAAGAGCGACTCAACAAGGTCAATACTGTGAGCATCTTACCATTTGGCGGAGATCGCGCACGCGTTCATGTTGCTTATCTAGTCGATCAGTGATAGTCGCCTTCAGTTGTCCGAGACCCTCTTCTGCCTCTGGCAAACGAAGACTGTGGTATGCATCCACCCTGCGATATTCACTGATTGCCTTCTGTATTCCCTTTACCTGGTCTTGAAGGGCCTTCTGAATGGTGGCCAAGTAACGTGAATCATCAGCTAGGTCAGTAATCAGAACAGTGGCGCTCGTCTCGTCACCATTGCACTAGTGGTCAGAGCTGTCAGCGTAAGACGCAAGATCCGGGGTAAGGGGTCGACGTACATGATCAATGACATGCGTCTCAATTTCATCGCATATCAGGGACCATTCCTGAAATAATTCGCCAATGTATTGCTGTAGGAATTTGTCATCGCTTGCAGGAATCTGGCCGTGAGAGATAGTACTGCTGTAGGAAACCGGCTGTACGTCGCCGTTTGTATTCACAAAATGTGGCCTTGTCCACGATATGCACCAGTATTTATGGCTTGCTATACCCTGAGAGTGGAATGGGCTATGTCTCTTGAAGAATCCTGCATCCGGGTTGGGGAATTCTACTGTTAGAACACAAGTTATTTCGGACAATTTTGTGTCAAGATGCACGCGGCTGTATGAGTAGGATCCTGTATTATGGTAGAGACCATGCTGCAACGAGGCTATCCAATTTTGTTTGCTATTGTGTAGCCTGCCAATTCTTCCTGTTAGCATCTAAAGAAGGTACTTATCAAAAGGCAGTATTCACCAGAGATGCCGAAGCATATCGCATCGTTCGACAAGATGTCCTTGTGGAGTTACATCCTCTGCTTGGTAGAAGTCGAAGACAAGGATATTGTTCTTCTTTCGTACCAGCTCAAATGAAACATTCCGATACGTTTCCTCCAGATTGCAGAAAGATGCCATATTCTTACTGTCCGGCAATAGATTAAACCAGTCCGCTTTGTGTTTGAAGCAATCCACTTTGGCACGCCACCGAAGGAAAAGCTTCACTATCGGTAGCAGTCTTTTCTCTTTTGCCAAAGCTAAAGGCGTTAAGCCACGTCTGTCGGCTTTCTCAAGAAATAATGAGCTCACATTTGTTGGAGCTTCAACTGTGTCCATAGGCAAGTCAGGTACTTGGGCGACTATGGCTTGTTGGAGGTGATGCTCCATAACGCCAATATTAGGGATGTCAAGCATTATATGGAAAGCGGTCTCTTTGTTTGGTCCTTGCAGTTTGGCAAACAAATAATTGTTGGTAACAAGCCATTCCAGATGTTCAGATCGAGTGTGAGCATTCCTCGCAAGTAGCCTCAGAGTAGTATCATCATCTTTTCACAATAGTTCGGCAATTTTGCGGTTTCTAGCCTCTATGGCCCGCCAAAGCGGCGTTTTTCCGTCTCGGTCCGCCACGCCTATATTGATGTCCTCGATGGTAAGAAGTACCTTGACGATTGAATACCTTTCGAGTCGTACAGCACGCACTAGCAGGGTGAGGCCAAAGGCATCAGGCTCAGATAACAAGGATGTGCTTATATAGTCGGCTGGCACTCACGTTTGCATGTAGGTATCCTCCACAGCTTTGCGCCATTGAAAGTGCTCCATTTTAAGGGAATGTTTTTCGTCCCAGATAAGTGGAAAAACCCCGAAATAATATCCTTCAGTTGGCTCAGGCTCCCTTTGTAGGAAATAATGCACGGGTGTCCAGCCTCGGTTATCCTTGTCATTAGAGTACCCGACATTCCAACTTAGTAGCTTAATCAATTCTTTTCCACCGGATTGTGCTGCCCAGGATAAGACCGATCGTCCCATTTTGTCACATCGGTAGGGGTCCGCTCCAGCTTCAATCAAATTCTTCACAGCCCACGATTTTCCAAGCTCTGCTGCATGAGACAGTGGGGTACGACCGTCTTCATCCTGCTCGTTCAGATCATCCAGTTCGAGGCCCTTCAGTAGCGAGTTCCATTTCTCACGTCCCTTCCAATATCCCGTTGGCAATAACTGCGCTGCGTAATGGAGCGGTGTCATACCAAACTCATCTTTTGTGTGTGAATAGGTCTCGCTATCTCGCTCAAAGCGATCGCCGAGAGTGCAGTGGAATTTTTCTAGGGCCCTTGATGAGTATTATTTTCTCTTTTGCTCGGCATTAAGTTGAGTAGGACTAGGGGCACACCTATGGCTGCTTCAGAGGCCTCCTTTTCTTCTTGTTCGAACCCCCAGAAACTTTCCATTTTTAAGCCTCCATCCAATACCAACGGTGACGGATAAACAGTGCTCACACCGGCCTCGAAGAGATTTAAAGCATTGGTAGAATGATACCCCGTAGCCTAGATCGCAAGACTGCGTGGCTAAGATAGCAGCATCCGTGCATCGCCTCACGCTAAATTCGTGGTCTCGTTTGATTTGATGCATTGCCATGTTGCTATGTGGAGTTGATAGCACTCCGTCCAGGGGTCCTATTACTGTAGCCAGCGATAAGCTATTGTTGAACCAGTGTCTGAATAACACAAAGTAAAGGTTCTTAGATATGAAGAAATTTTTAGTAATATGGCATCTCATGTGAAAATTGTTTTCGCGACCGTACGCGCTGTCAATTCACCCATGTGTGGACACCGAGCCTTGTTGACATCTAATCTGACCGAGAGGCGGAAACGTGGCTATGCTCGCAAAGGATCGCATCGTGCAGCAACCCCGCGCGACGTGACCATCTTGCTAAGGCATTAACGTGATATCATTGGATGCAAGTTAGAAATCGTTATAAAGTGCGTTTTACTAATTAAATTGCGTATTGTGTTTTTTGGCTGCTAAAAGTCGAGGATATTCAGGATATCTAGGATATCTCGGGTGACAGGTCCCTGCGGTGTGCATACCAGCGGGTATGCATAAACGGGTTTCCAGTCTTAGTGTACAACTACTATTTGTAGTCTTTGCTCTGCTCTTGTCGAGGAAAGAACAATACCAGTATATAACGAATATTTATAGGCATTCAATGCTATTGGATAATTAATACAAAGACGAAGGTAAATATCACTGCACTATCCTAGTAACCCCCATATCCAGATGGGTTCTGAGGTAATATGCAGTGCGTTTAGGAAGAGAAAGAGAACTCAGGAATGTTAATGGTGGTAACAGTCCAGGTCTTGCCACCATCGCTGGTGGACATGTCGCCAGTGACGCCGCTACCCTTGGCAAGGGTGTTGATGTAGTTGGGGTCAGCAACATCGAGGATAATCTTGGTGTTGGTCCAAGCTAATGTGCGATTTTATTAGTAACGCAAAGATACTTCGGCAATGTCATTTTTCAACTTACAGTGAGCACCGACAGTGCCGCAGTTGTCCTCGGCACACTCGACAGCGCTACCCCAGCCCTGAGCCTTGCCATCGCTGGTGGAGAGAGTAGAGACGGTCTTGCCGTTGATCAAAACGGTCTGGGTGTAGTTTCCGGTCGAGTCATCGAACTTGTCTATAAATCGCGAGTTTTAGCTATGAGCCAGGAACGACGGCTTGTGAATGTCACTTACAGTGCATGGTGACCTTGTCGCCCTTAGTGCCGTCAGCCTGGCCATCACCGTAGATGGGCTCCTGGGAGGTAGCTATGAAGAGGAGCGGGTAAGTAATTATTTCGTTTGTTGTTGGATACCGTGGTCGCTAACCGCTAGTCTCCTTAAGAGTGTAGGCGTACATGGTCCAGTCGCTCTGCTGCCAGTTGTCGGCAATGGACTGGATAAGGTCACCGTTGGAGGTGCCCATACCAACCCACAGGGAGGTGATAGCATCGGAGGAGCCGCCGCTAGGGCCGTTAGGGAGGACAAGAGTCGAGGTAGCTTCACGGATGAAGGAGTCGTCGGAGACGGGACCAGTGCTGAAAGCGGGACCCATGGCGGCATTCACGCCGGTTGCGCCAAGAGCAGCAAGAGCTGCGAGAACCTGGGTGCGGGTGTACATTTTGATGGAGTTGTGTGTGGTAGATGCGAGTAAATGCGGGAGCTCGTGTGGTGTTGTTCTTCTGGTAGACAGACCGCGAGGACGAGGTACCTTCTTATACGTTCTAAAATTTTATGAAGTAGCTTTCAAATTTCCTCCCCTACAAACTCTCTCTCTCTCCAGTAACTATTGGCGTTTATTGTCTGATGTTTCGGGGAAATATCCACCAGTGGGGTTTCGGCCCCCGGAAGTATTGCCCTACTTAGTTGAGGGGGTTTTGGCTCTTGCGCCTTTCTTTGCACGAATGGGGTGTGCAGACACAAACATGCTGCCCCTCATGCTGTCCAGAAGCCAAGAAAAGAGTCAATCTACATGGATCCCTCTGACAAGGCTACTGCCGCAGACTCCTACCTCGACTTCCCGTCCTGACCCACTTGGTGGGTAATCAATTCCGATTTCCGACACCATCAGGGAAAGCTCTATTCCAAAGTCGGTCACACCAGACAAACATTTAAAGGTGAAAGTAGAATTCCCTGGCTTTGGACTGATTCATGACTGGTCTTCAGTGTTGCCGTTGCCTGTCCTGTATTTAGCGCACATATTTAATAAATATCCGAAGGTCCAGATGCTCGCTAAATCTTGGTAGGAAATGTCGCCATAACGTTTCCATAATGACCCTGTAGGTTAAATTTAGTCATGAGCTTGCTATAACTAGCGGTTACTCGAACTTAATAACCGCCATCAACAACCTTGGCCCAAACGGCTATTCTGGTTTGTTACAGGAGAGTGCAATATGGACCCTCCCTGATGCCCATATGGCCGTTCTCCACTTATGGGCCCTGCTCTTGGCGCCCTACTGTAAAGCCTGGAACAACCCCTATGCAGGGGTCCTCCGTTTCCGGCATTAATAGAGTAACAGACAGACCTGTAGGTGTTTCAACACTTTTAGGGTGGTTAATCTTCCGCCAATAGGGGACTACAGCGGCTTCTTCATTACTCCATCCATAAAGGTATGAGCTCCGTGTTTCATCTAAGATCCTTAGTCATACCTAACAACCACCACCCACGAGGGCGCCGTAGGAGAACTGGGTGCGATTCATGGGAACTTTGGCATCCAATTCGGGTAAGGTTTACGGGATATTAATATAACGATTAAGATTAACTTTCAGTTAACGGGTGTGATCCGAAAGCTAGGCTTCTATGCCATTGATGACCCACCCGGCCTTACACATTGATTTGACCTAGATGTCCCTAATGTGGGAAACTTTAGCCATATCGTCTCTTTCTGACGTGATTGTGGTAAGTGACAGGATAAGGAACTGTTGCGACACCTTCACGGTATTCAAAGTAACGAAGTCAAATATTAATGTTGTGACAGTCAATATATATTTCATCAACACCGACGGTTTCTGTCATGTAGATGGTCGATTCTGATCGAAATCGTCTATAATTAAGTTCCTCACTTCAAGGCCACTACACAGTCGTTTGCGATGAGCGGATAAAAGCTTCACCGACTCGAACCATATAAGTTATTATACGTTCAGGCAGCAGGATTTTGCTGGAGGACATGGTCAACTGGAATGATTCTATTCGTCGTATGGCTGTGGAGCCACGGGGATGGTCATTCAGCATGGCATGGCAAGACGCATTAGTGAATACCCCTAAAATCAAGGGGTTATCATGGGATATATAGAAATTAAATCTACATTGCACATAGAACACTTCGGAGACTTGGAAACTGTTCGGAGAAGATACGCCTATATTGTATTTTGCTTCGAGGCAACCTAGTTGGGGAGAGAATGGCCCCCCTCCCCCATGAATTAATATAAGGCGCATCAATTGCCAGGCTATGAGGAAGACAACAGCGCTCTCACAATGCAAATTGTGATTATTTCACTCCAATTCTACAATTATCTCGACTGCTATGTCTCTCAGAGACGAGCTTGTGTTGCTTCATCCCTTGCCTGGACGACGGCCAATCTGCGGTGCACAATATTTCATGGCAGTAGCATAACCACCATGAATTGAACTATCTTAGTATCAGTTAAAATATATACTATGTCATACCTCATGGGATTTAAATGGTTGCGTATGCCAGCTGGCTGGGTTCGCAATCATCGTCGGGTTATTAAAGCGCCTATGACGACTATGCCGTTTCAATATATTGGCATATACCATATATTGTGCGAGGTCGAAGGGAAATATACTTACATAAAAGATGTCGGACGTCTACTTTGTAATACCTGGAGGCCAATGCTATCCTTTGTCCGCAATCACCGAAGTGAAACCTGACCCACGTCAGTAAGTCTTATTATAGGCAAGGCGGTGCATAACAATTGAGGTTTTCACCTTAGATACAGTCAGTTATCTGTCAGAATATCCTCTTCATTGTGCTACAGAAATATTGATGCCCCTAAATGTATGGATATCGTAATTATATATTTGTGCTGGCATAGCATGTCTGGATTACGCGGTATCGTGTTTCTACGAGCTACCATGATATAACTTTTGGTGCAGCTGCTCAAGCTACAAGATAGGACAGTCGGTCTGCGGGGGAGGGGGAAGTTGGAGCTGTCATAGTACATCTCGAGATCGATCTCCTTAAACCTTAATCCACGATGAATTTGGAGACCTGTCATATGAGATCCTCTTGGGGATTATGTCGTTCTGGCTAAGTAGAGGAATTGATATATGATACCCTTTCCTACTGTGCATCATTCTATCTCTATCAGCATATTATTGATGCAACTTGAGGCGTGCGACCCAAATATAGAAGCCTAACCGGTGAACACTACATCCATTGATGCCTTACTGTGCGACCAATATATGCAGGGCCTCGATATCTGTATCTTTTGAATTGTAAGTCCAAAATGTAGATGCAATCAACCAATCAGCTCGCATGGCTTAGTTGGTAAAGCGCATGACTAGTAATCATGAGATCCTCGGTTCGAATCCGAGTGTGAGCATTTTTGTATTTTTTACTTACCGCCGTTACGGCAGCAGACTTTTCCGAGTAAGTGACTGTACAAGGTCCAACTGTTCACACTGTCTTCATATGAACAGCATTACGTTCCCTAAATACTCCGTACTCGGAGAGTAATATTGTGAAGGCGGTATACTCATCAGCTCGTAGGGTCTGCTCAGCAAGCCCTCCTATGCAAGGGATACATCGACTTCAATTGACTGCCGAGCTGTACAAGACAAATCAGGTGTCGAAATAATTGATGAAGTTTTCAAAAGATACCCTGCGGTTATGCAGTATGAAAATTTACTCTAGAGGAAGATTTGACACCTCCATGGCACGCATTTTCCCTATAACAATAACATGCGGATAACTCGTCCAAAAGAAAAGCACAACCTAAGACATAGCAAGGTTGTGACAGATGGTGAAATAACGAGTCGTGTTAAAATCGATTGAATAACCAGCGAGATACCTAATTGCCGCTGCGGTGTACAGTGCGATAAGCATCACCTAGATCGTGCAGGTGGACAAGCAGCGGTGGGATACAACTTAGAGAGATGTACCCGGCTTCGGCTCCGGGTGATCTGTCACATATAGTATCCTCCCAATGGACATGCTTGCGACCGTGGACTGGGGAGCCTTCGACTATAGCCTCTTAGCCGATAAATGAACATTGTGGCACACAAAGTAGTCAATGCGATATGTACCGAGTCCTTTTGTCATGGTTTTGCTGGGGAAGACTAGTAAGGTTGCCTCTAGTATGGGATATAGTTTACTACGGCAAGTTAACTAGCGCATCAGGATTATATATCATTCAACTTGTTATGCCAGTAGCTCGTAAGGGGAGTCCCAAACAATAGCATCGAGCATATAAACGAAAATTCTTGCCCCAGTATCGATGTATCCTGTGCAGCATATCACCAGAACGTAGAGAATTCGAGATATTTTGAGCCTTGTCGAGCTCTCAGCGTGCCAATACATATGACATGATCAGTTATGCGTGAGAAGCAATAAGATCTGCACAATCAATGGAGTGATCTCCCGAGATCATATGCAAAGCATATGCTTTATACAAACTGTTAACTTCAGGGTTGTCTGCAAATATCATGTGTGCCACAACTTCCATTCAGGGTTGTGCTGTTGCATGGCCATGTCGAAAAATTGAACAGAAGACCCACAACAAATTGTCAGTGGCATGTAAGCAATGCATGATTTCCCCTCCTTGAACCTCACAAGGACGCAGACCAAAGTTACACTGCATCTATTATTTGATCGTCTGCACCAATAATACTTGAGGTATTTGTTGCCCGCGGTATTCGGCCTCCCGGTGGCTCGTATATAAATCCTCCCGAGATAAACATCCATCTATCTAGCAAAAGACACAAGTCAGACATCTGAGACCAAGCTAGTACAATGAAAGCCAGTCTACTCTCCGTTCTCTCTTCCTTTTCCTTGGCCTTGGCCACGGATTCAGCCAAGTTGCTTCCATGGTCGCCTCCAGGGCACGGCGATGGTATGTCTGACTTATGAAGTTAGTGATGAAAAGTAAGAAGCAACAGTGCGAGGCCCCTGTCCAATGCTGAATACCCTTGCGAATCACGGGCTTCTACCACACAATGGCAAAGACATTTCTGAAGAAGATATTGTCGATGTACTGGGCAACATGCTGAATGTTGCAGAGAGCCTTGCTGTTGCTCTGTATAAAGAGGCCATGACCACAGTTGAAGACCCCAACGCGACTACCTTCTCCTTGAGTGACCTTGATCGCCCTGGTATCCTAGAGCATGATGCCAGTTTGAGGTATTTGCAACCCCAGACACATCAGGAAATCAGGCTGACTCGCCCAGTCGCCAGGACCCTTACTTCGGGAATGACCATGAGTTCAACCAGAAAATATTCGACCAGACAAAATCGTACTGGACAAGTCCTTTGATTGATATTGAAGAAGCAGCCGAGGCACATGAAGCCCGGTGGAACACTTCCAAGGCCACCAACCCTGACTTTAACATTTCGGAGACCGGGACAGCATTCAGTTTCGGAGAGTCTGCCGCCTACATGCTTGCATTTGAAGAAGACGGTATTGGGTATGCCAACAGATCTTGGGTAGTATACTTTTTTGGTAATGAACTTGATGAATCATGAGCTCATAGCGCCGCTAACATGTTGATTGCGTAGAAAACGAGCGCCTGCCCCAAGAGCTTGGATGGACTAAGCGTCCATTTGTTACTACAGGCGAGATTCTGTTCAACATGACCCAGCGGATTGTGAATTCCACTGTTGGTGTCACACCAGAAGTTATAGCCAAGCTGAAAGACTTTGCTAAAGCGAACCCCAGTTTCGCTGGGTCTTCGTAAAATCATGATATTGATGGTTTTTCCTGTCCTCTAGCGCTGGGGGGCTATCATTCCTGAGAGAAAGAAAGTTGCAGATTGGAACAAGGGTTTGTTTTCAATGGATAAGGCAGGTAATGCGTTTAGTAATTTGTGAGAGATGAGTTCACACAGGTTCACCATTCACCCATCTGTCAATAATGCTCGGAAAACAACTGACCTGTACACATGTCTCAACGGGTGAACATTAGTCTTTTGCAAATATTACCTACCTAGGGTGCTTCTGCTTGAGTTTATTATTATTATCAGTCCGTCCGATCTATCAAAGATATGGTACTACCATCTAGGATCCATTAGAGCATCCACAAACCGCCCTCTCATATACTATCTACTACAATCAATTTCACATCGCAGGCGAGTTATCATTTGGGTGAGCTAGACTCCAACCACTCGCTCAATAGTCTCCCTTACACCATCCATATTCAGCCCCAGCAATCCAATGGCGAGCTTTTGATCCCTGACGTAGTTCGTCTTCAAGCCAGCAGTACTCCCAAAAGCGGTCGCCCGAACTAGCGCAAACGCACCACTAAAATCACCTACATTCAGCTTCTTCAGCCCCTCGGCTACCTGCTCGTCAGTTGTAGTCTCAGTAACTGTCCACCGTGAGCCTGTAACATCCTCAAGCGTGTTCAAGATTTCGTTTTGGGTAGTCTCGACCGACGCAATATACAGAAAGCGGTTTTTGGTTTCCTCCGACCGTAAGACGACAGATAAGACAGCCTTTCCAAGCTGTTCCTCATTCGTCATGGTGAATGATGTGACACCACCGTCCCAGATCACTGCAGACTTCGTCTTGATGTCAAAGCCGAGGAAACCAGATGCAAGTCCCTAGAATATCGATCAGTCATAACATATCCAAGATATGGTAAGAGAAGACAACTCACCCAGTCGAACAACCCAGAAGTAGCAATTGCAGTCCAGCTCAACCCGTTTTTCTCTTTCTCTTTCAGATAGTCAATAATATCTCTCTTCTGCTGAAATAGAGGGAGTAGCTGGATCACGGCATCATCTTCGCTGCTGGTCGAGAACTCGGAGGGAATAAACCGTTTCACGCCTGCCTCGATCGCAGCATCAACGAATTTCTTTTGTTCAGTGAAGGCAGTCCCACCAACTGCGGAGATGAGCACATCTTGCCCACGAAGGAGTGACTGGAGACTGGAGGGCGAAAAGTCGGTTTTATGGACAGTAACGCCGGGTGGAAACTCAGTCGTGCCGGATGGTTCTTGACGGGATAGGACGGTAACGGCGATTCTCACATTCAAGCTCAATGCCTTGAGGATAATTTGACCGATCAATCCAGTTGCCTGTGTTGGTCAATACGGTGTCCGAAGAAACATAGAAACGAAAGACATACCCCAATGATCGTGACTTTGGTTGGGATGGCCATTTTGGTCTGAGCAGAGCGGAAGATGTGGTATGAATCGATTGTTTGCTCGAATCTGCTATGAACTTGCAGCTAAAACTGAGGGAAGATAACCTCTATTTATGTTTGCCTTTGAGGCATTGAATCTACTTGATGATCACTTGTATACACACTAATACGCTTTTCTCAACCCTAACTTGGGACTAGCCCCGGCAGCTCAATGCTTAGTGCTTACATCCCATCACCCACCTCTAAGCAGATGATTCATCAAGATTATAAATACGGACTGCGCTCCGCTGTCCGCCCTACCCAATCACTGATTGATCTTCACTCTTGCGCCATTTCACTCACACTCTCACCTGCCCAAAACTGCCTACGTTGGGATACGTCTTCTTATCTTGTCAATCAATAGACAAAAATGCTACGTCGGACAATCGCATCCGGGAGATCCTGCCTCGAATGTAGTCGGCGAAAGATCAAATGTAATAGGTCACTGCCTTGTTCCTATTGTGTAAAGATTAGAGCGGCATGTGTTTATCCGCCGACGAGAAGGCGCTCTCGGAGCCCAGACCCAGGGAATGTCAGTGTCACTAGTCGGCTTGATAGAATCGAGGATACGCTACGAGTACTGAGCGAGGATTTGAGTCAGATTAGAGACTCACTACGCCAGTTAGTCTTTTTTTCAGCATCCGACACTACGGGGGATGGTGAGATTCCCCAAACGAGACCCTCGAATCCTCATGGAGACTGCGTCGATACTGGCCATAGCCCGGAAAATGGAACAGAGCCTCCAATCTGTGAAAATAGCACTTTTGATAGCGGGAAAGAAACAATTGAACGACAGCACCCATCGCCTGTCACAATATCCATTCTGTGGCATTGGTACCTGGATACCGTTGATCCTGTGCTCAGGGTATTCCATACGCCTAGTGTTCAGAAAGACCTTATGCGAGTCATCATAGCAGATACCACTGTGGATGTGGCAAAACAATGTTTGCTCTTCGCGATATATTATGCTTCAGTAACCAGTATGCCATCTACCACGTGCCTGGACAAGCTTAATGAAGATAGGCCAACACTACTGGAACGGTAAGATAGCCATGTCCTCAAACTTGAACCTAGCTAACAATATAGATATCGCAATGGAGTCGAGCGCCAACTTGCACGAGTAGACCTTTCATCGTCCTTGGAATTTACTCTTCTACAAGCCTTCATTCTATACCTTGTGCGTGATTATGTCCTTTCGCCCCAACTCAGCTTATAATCGTACTAGACCTGCGCCCGACTAGACAGTCACGGCCCATCAGTTATAACCCACCTCCCTACAGCCATCAACATGGCATACCGGATGGGTCTCCACCGCGACGGCACAACACAAAACAATTCAGTATTGGAGACTGAATCCCGACGTCACCTATGGTGGCAGCTCGTTACCCTTGACACCCGAACCGCAGAGGATCACAACACAACCCCCTATATCCTTGAACCATCCTTCACCACACAATTTCCATGCCTCATCGTTGACACAGGCCTCCCATCCCCGATCGCATTCAATGCCACTGCATCCAGCACATTCTTTCAACTTCTCCATTTCGAACTCATATCTTTCACCCGACGCATAATTTTCTCGGACACTTTCAACCAAGCAAACGACTATCACATTTTTCCCCCCATACAAAAGCACAAGGCCATCAACGACTTCCGACAATCACTGGAAAGCCGATATTTCTCTCACTGTGGCTCCGTAAATCACCTAGAGTTTATAACCGCAGCAACTGTTCAGCTCTTCCTAGTGAAAATGAAATTGGCGGTGTGTAAGCCTGGACACAGTTTTCGACCTATTTGTATAGAGGTTCTTCAGCGAGCACTCGCGCTGAGGGAGCATGAGCCAGGGCAGAAGTGGCTTTGGTTAGTTCAGAGAGACATGGAGTGGGGAATGTTGGAGTTGCTGCTGAATGATTTGTGCGCAGAGGGGGTGAACGAAGGGAGGGAAGAGTCGTGGAGGGTTGTTGAGCAGGCATATGGGTATTGGAGGGAAGATGCAACTGGACGGGAAACTGGAAAATGGGCGGTCATTGAGAAACTAAGGGCCCGTGCTTTGACTATTCGGGGTTACGAGAGCGAGATCGATGTACCGAACGGACTCGAATTGGTGCCGGAAGATTATGGCCCAAGGCCGGCTGAGGAGCTCGCCGAAGGTACTGGGACGGGAGAACTGCCTGGCGATGGGACCGTGTGCGAGTGGAGTATGGAGGCGTTTGAGCAGTATTTTCAAGGGCTGGGTGCCGGGGACGGTATGTCGAATGTGCTTTAAGCTGTTAGCTTGTACCGAAGCGTACATGTTTAGATGAAACCATACATAGTTTGGTCGTTGCGTGACGATCTCTATAATAAAATTACATACTGACATGACTTCATGTCACAGGACAGCAAGAATATGTGAGCGATACATATGGCGATTTCGTGCTCTGCCTATAACCTCGTTGAGAAGTGTAGCGTAGAGACTACGTAATTAGCAGCGATGAATGCACCAAAAAGACAATACTGGCCTGCAAAGTATGGTTTGCTCAAGCATAGTGCCAGGTGTCATTAGCAGGATGTTCATACCCTGCAAGCTGGCTGCATGCTAAGCTTTATCGGCCTGCAGGGCCAATCACATATTCATTCGTCTGTGCGCTTGCCAACCAACTACTCTGGCGATCTCCCTCTTATGCTTACCCCTCATCCACTCAGCCGGCTAGCAAAGCAATATATTGGCAATTGCTTATGGCACAATCTTATGCTGGTCGGAGAAATGATGAGCTGGCGCGCAGGGCCCAGCATCTTCCCCAGATTGAAGCCACGGCCACCAGATGCTAGTTCTTTTCTACCCTGGTATATTAGAACTGACATTATCGAACGCTATTAATCAACCTACAGGAATTGAATGGATATGAGTGTAACCCTGCGATCGGGCCTGTATTACGCCCTGCCACCATCAATAGCGGGCTTCGCCTACGGATGGGAGATTGCGTCCATGAGTGGCATCTTAACGATGCCGCAGTTTCTTTCCTACTTTCATACGCCATCAGCTTACCGACAAGGTGCCATGACAGCGGCTCTTCAAGCTGGCGAGTTTGGGGGTTCACTACTGATTGGGTTCTTTCTTGCTGACCGATTCGGCCGTCGATACACGCTTCTCATTTGTGTAGCTATTTATCTGATCGGGCAAGCAGTTGTTGTCGCTGCACAAAACCAAGCCATGTTTATTGCGGGCCGAGTTGTCAATGGACTCGGAGCGGGTGGCCTGTTCCAATCTATTTCTCTGTAAGCATATTATCTTTATCGCTGTCTCTAAATTATTCCCTCCCCCGATCTCGTGGTTTTACTGAGAGTGTCAGGTATACCGCCGAAACAATCCCCACACAGTCCGTGGCATTATGTCCTCCACAATGAGTGCAGGGATCGCTGTTGGCTTGCTAGTATCTTACTGGGTACAATATGGAGCGCTCAAGATTTCAGGAACAGCCGCATGGCGTATGTGCTTTGCCTTTCAGCTAGTACCTGGGGTCTTAGTGGGTATTTTGATTTATGTACGCCCAGAATCTCCACGCTGGCTGTTTCAACACGATCGCGGCGACGAGGCACTTCAAGTTTTAGCAGACCTTCATGACCACGGTGACTGCTCCAATCCATCCGTACAAGCCGAGTTCCAAGAAGTCCGAGTAGTCGTGCAATATGAGGGCCGCGCACCTCCCCCGTCATACCTGAGCCTACTCATCAAAGCGCCCTAGCGGCGCCGCACTGCGCTAGCAATGGGTCTGCAATTTATGCAGAACATCAGCGGCGTCAACATCGTCTTCTACTATGCAGCCAAAGTATTCGCGCAGACTGGACGCACTGGGACCCAAGCGGCAATGCTAGCGAACGGCATCGGATCCTCCATCTTCCTAGTTGCCTCCTTCTCGCTGACCGTCATGATCGATCGGTACGGTCGACGAAAGCCACTAATTATCGGACCAAGCCTCATGGGTATCTGCATGGTTATTGTTGGCATGTTACTAGTTGGCTACGGCTCGCCGCATTTCGATGCTGAATCCCAGCAGTTGAAATACAGTTTTGCGAACGTCAACGCCGGCAATGCTGCTGTGGCATTTGTCTTTCTATATATGATTTCCTTTGGCTCGACGTGCGCTGTGTTGCCCTGGACTTATCAGAATGAGGTGTTCCCTATCTCCGCGAGAGGCAGAGGGACTGCACTTTCTGCCTGCATTAATTGGTTTGCGAATTTTTGGCTCGGTTTATATATGCCTGAAGCGTTGAATAAGGCTGCATGGAACATTGATTTCGTTTTCGGGGGTGTTTGCATCGCGACTTCTTATGTTACGTATTTGTTCTATCCGGAGACTGCGCAGCGGTCGCTGGAGGAGCCTGATTTGTTGTTCACACCGAATCGGCGTAAGCTGGTTTGCTTTGACTGGGAGGCATGTCAGAAGGGGTCATTGCTGCATCGTGATTTCGAGGGCGTGGAGGTGGCACAGCAGCTGGAAACTGCGCTGGTCATGGGAGGGATTGAGAAGACAGTGTGAGTTGAAGATTTCCTTTTGCGCTTAGTATACCCGATACATACTATTATGTTCAAGGGACCGTGCTAAAGAGAATAATATGAAATTTTGACTCGTAGGCGAATAAGAAGAAGGGGCATGATGATGGATGGATGTAAGAGCCGAGTGATTAAAGCAGAAGGATCAGAACGGACCATCTCCCGACAGCACACAATGTGCTTATACACAGCCCCTACGGATTAGAATAGTTACACTAAAAGTAAGCTTCCTCGGCGTCCCACTAGACGGACACGGAACTATAATTAACCCAGCCTCATGCACAATGATGTTATTTTTTTGACAATGTCCTATCAACATCCCAGTAGACTTAACCCGGCCGGTCCCGCCCAACCCAATCAAACTCCTTGTAAGCAGCCACCCGTATCGCTGGCCTGGTGATTCGGTAGAAAGTAGTCACACGTGAGACAATTCCAACGACGCGTATAGCTTCATGCTTGTCAGATGCCCTTTCCTATCAGGATGTGCTTAACGGGGAAATGCGGATGCAGCTCTCAGTTTGAATAGCCAAGCTCAGATGATCATTGTACGCCTGATTGTTTACCGTAGAATGTACATGAGGCCGAGTTGAGGTTGTCATTTTCAGCTATGCAAAGAATATAAATATGCGATTGACCGTCTCATCTAACATGATCATAACCACAACCCATCACATCCACCCCAAGCTAACCAACTGACAACCATCCTCGAAACCACAAGAATGACTTTCCTAGCTACCTTTATCTCCCTCCTCACCCTCCTAGCCCCTGCCCTCTCCGCTACGAACTGCAGCACCGGCGCCTTCACCGTCATGTCCATCCGCTCCGGCACTTTCATCCAAAACCTCCCACTAACTGCCGCTGACACCAACTTCTACCTAGGAGGCACGACCTCCACCGCATGCCCGGAGGACGTAGCTGAATACAACGCTTGCCCACCAGGCGATGAAACCGTGATCGACTACGGCAACTACCTGGTAATTCTACCTATCATTCCCAAATTCCTTCCCACCACATAAATAACTGACAATGGACAGAGCTCCGGGTACGTCCAAGAAATCTACGTCGACCCCACCGGCGCATTGAAGTTTGTCGAAGCGCACACGACATACATGGACCCTGGTGCGTCGACGAGCACGTTCTGCTACACGCCGGGTACAAGCTATGGACAGTGGAAGTATACGGGCCTCGGGGCGACGGGGTTCATGGCTTGTCCGTTGGATGAGGATGAGGAGGTGAACGGGGGTGCGTGGCAGGTCTTTGCGGCCATGAAGAATGCGACGGTGCCGTCAGGGAATGTGAGTGATTGCTTGGGGTTTGAGGCTCTTGCGTATCCGTGGGTGTCGAATGGGAGCTCGATTGCGGCGTGGCAGTATGATTGATTAATTCATGATTTCTTTGATGGGGTGGTGTGTTGGGGAGGGGTTTGAGAGAGCTATAGTGTATTTAAGTTGATTGTGTCGCTTCTGGGGTTCAAAGTTAGTGCTACGGGGGTAATGGTTAATCAATGAATGGATGTTGCATAACTATTCATCCTAATATTTCATAGATATATAACTGCAACGCTGTTATACAAAAAACAGTACACCACTACATAACATTGGAAAATAGTTAAACAGTACTAGGGACCTACAGTACACGTCGCAAGGGACTAAGAATCAACCAAATCAACCAAATCAACCCACTTTAACCGATAAACTCTACTATAGCATATCCGCCAGCAGTCTCTCACCTCCGACAACTCCGCGGAAAACTCAACGCCCACGCCCATCGCCTAAACACTTATCACCCCATACTCTCGGGCGACCACAACAACGCCCCCACACTATCCCGTCAAGTCTACTACATACTGGACCGCGTCTCGTCTACTCCAGACTAAAGACTACAATTCTAACCGGCAATTGCAGCCATCCCATCGAATGGCGTAGAACCCCACTTACTCCTCTCACCACCAGGACACGCGACACAGACACAACCCTACGGACCGACATGGGAGAGACTAAGAGACCTTGGTTCCTTTTCCCGGAAATTCCTTATGCTCAATGCCGGACATGCATTCTACCACTGACTCGTAACTTCAGTTCACAGCAGACTATACCTTTACAACCTCCACAACTAGACTACAACGTTCGTACTCACCCGGCCCCCATACCACTGAAAAACAACCCCAAGATCCCCTTAGATCCGCCCCGATCAGATCCGACCCCGACATCCAAATGCCACTCAGATCCGGCATGTCCGTCTATCCATCTAACTAATAATGGGGGCGAGATCGAAATCGAAATCGGAATCGCCGAGCCCGGAGTCGTAATCGCATCCCATCCACGCCCTACCTACCATGATGAATAGTAGAGACTACTAATACCCATCACCCACCCAAACAACCCCATTGGCCAACTGTATGAGCATATCCCGGCTTACGATCCCGAAAAATTCCATCGCAACAAAACTACTAACCCCAAACTAGACTACTAATTAGTTATGTTCTGGTTTAACGTTAGTCAGCCCAACTTACTCACCACTAGGCAGTTTAGTGCAGAAACTATCTACCGACTAAACTTAAGTAACCCAAGGGCCATGCGACATGGGACACATGTAGGGATCAGACCATAGCCAAGACAATTGTTGACCATAGGGTAAGACGGGGAAAATTTTTTTTTCATTGTATCTTTCCCATCCTTTCCGGGTTAATGTCTTGGTTTTCAGGCACATGGCATGACATTAGGATTGTTCCATGGAACTCAAAGGAACTGTGGATGGAAGAAGGGGAGAGGAAGGGGTAAATAGTCCAAGCCAGCCGCTTTTCTGGATGTTAGTGGGGTGGAGTGGGCTGGTTATTAACCGGGTGGATAAATTGTCGCTTTTTGGTTCATAACGGTTCAGTTGGACTAGTTGTTCCTGGGGGAGGGGAGAATATTAGGGGCAGCTTCGGGGACTCTTTCCGTTCGTATTTATCTATTTCTTAACGAGACGATCATAACAGTTCATTTATTGGGTCACTAATATCTTTAACCTGGAGGAAAAGGGATGAAGAGTAGAGATATTAACTGACATTAATTAATCATTTATCTAAATTGATTAATCCGGAAGACTTCCCATCTGGGAATAGACTCCCCCCGTCGTACCTCGGATCAAAACTCGGTACGCCGCGCAACCGAAATAAGGATGATGAATTCAAGAGACCAACATGTCTGATATATATGATGCCGAACCAAGAACCGAAATGCCAAAAATCAAACAGCCACGGCATTATGCCTGCTGTGTGGTAAAACTGTATAGATGATATCATAGCTCGTGAGAACCCAATAACCCAAGCCCGCCAACCGGAACACCACCCATGCAAACCCTCTATAGGAACTCCTTTTCAGATGAATACAGCGACGAGGTCGAATCTCCCGGTCCGGGGAGCTGCACCTTGGTCGCATCGAAACCCCACGCCTGTTCGCGAGCTTCCTTGCCGTTGCGGACTTGCATGGGCATGGTCCACTCCTTCAGGCGGCCCTCCAAAAAGCCCAGGTCACGGTTCTTTTCCCACATCCGCCGCGACACCTGGAAGGCGGCATTGACTGTTCCTCGCCGCAGATCCTCATATGCCTTGAAGGCGACAGGGAGAGGATCGTAACGGTGCTTCGCTAGGATGCGCGAGAAGAGAATGGCGTCGTCTAGCGCGTATGCGGCAGATTCATCACGCGGCGGCATCTAATAAGATCAGTATTGAATCAATGGCAATTGAGGGATAAACACTTACTGCATGCGCCGCGTCACCGAGGAGGATGACCCGGTTACGGTACCAGCGTGCACCCGGGCGAACTTGCCAGACAGGATAGAGCATCCAGTCGTCGGCCTTGTTGACCATGTCCCGGATGGCCGGCAGGCCCGACCGGCCAAAACGGTCCCGCATCTCGTGGCAAAGGGCATCTTTGATAGCCGCGGTGCGCCGCCAATCCTGACCCGGCTCAATCTTGTAGTGCGACAGGAGCTCCTGCCGGAACTGCACGATAGCGGCAACGAAGATTTGAGTATGATCTCGATCACAGTAACTGGCGAGCAAAGAGCCATGACGGGAAATGTTCATCGAGGTGGAGCGGAAATGAACAGGGGGCTTGATGTCTTTGCTATCAATCATGGTTTGGACGAATGAGATGCCCGTGTACTCGGACGGGTGCTCGGGAGAGACCCATTGGGTGCGGACGTTGGAGTGGACCCCATCGCAACCAAGAACGAGGTCCCCGGTGGCCGTTGTGCCATCTTGGAAGTATAGGACGGCCTTGTCTTTTGACTCCTTGCCGCGGACCAGCTTCTTGCCAAAGACCACATTGACGTTCTTAGTGCGCTCGACAACTTTCAACATGGCCAAGGACAGGATGATACGCATCACTCTGCGGCCCTTATACCCACCAAATCCGTTTCCATTGTCATCAGTAAAGTTGATGGCGCCGAGGGAGCGTCCCGAGCGGCTGGAGAACAGCTGGATAGCATCTACATCGGTGCCAGACTCCGGTCCCAGCTTGTCCAGCTCGTCGAGGACACCCAAGCGATCCAGATGGCGCTGAGCAACGGGGGTGAGGTTGATAGCACCGCCGGATGTGGAAAGGATGTCGTGCCGTTCATAGACGTTGATCCGGAGATCGGGGACAAAGGGCGTCAATTCCTTTGAGAGGGCCAGGGCAACGGCAATGCCTGCAATGCCGGCACCCACGACCAAGATATCGCGGGGGACCGATTCAGCTTCGAGAGGGGGAGCTCGGTCCACGAAGTTCCAGAAGCTGACCCAATCCTTTCCGGCGGAAGGTGGCGGAGTCGCCTCATACCCAAGATCCATCATGGCTGCAAGTTCTGCAATGTGATTCAACCGATACGAAAGCGGTACAGGGTTCTATTCATGAGAAATCGAGGAAGGTTGTGGAGGGGTGCTGCCATAAAGAGAATGCGTGTCGTGTGCGTAGCTGCCCAAACCAGAGAGGATTCGCTTAAAATAAAAATAAAGAAGATTCTAGTGAAAAGAAAAAAATCCTTCGGAGGCGAGACTTGACTACTAATATCCAGGGGGAAAAGGTTAGGGGATTGGGGTTTGTATATGTACACCAATCACCCCGGTGCACCGGCCAGGCTCCGTAGTTTGTAGAGACCAGCAGGAGACATGTTCGGCCGGATATGGAGACTGTTCGGAGGTAGGTCTGCCATGGTGGTATGGAGACTCGACGCGGCGAAAAAAAGTTGGCAGGAACCAAGACCCAAAAAAAGTTTTACTTTCCATGTCGAGAAAAAAAAATAGAATAAAAAATAAAAATAAAAACCACGAAAAGAGATTTGCCTGCAGGCTCTCCACTCATCAAACTAAACCTCGTCTGGCGACCATCGAGGCAGAGACCGAGCATCAACGGCGCCAGGCCAGCGTCTGCTGCTCCACCCGACCTCCGAGACCACGGCCGATTCGGGATGCTATAGGCTGGTGAGACCAAGCTGTCACTGACTGAACGGTATCCTGACCCGCGGTGGGCACGCTGGATCATCTCATCACAACCGTTACGGTCCGGCGCGGCACTCTTGGGAGCAAGTTAGTCCATTAGATCCATTGGTGAGTGGTAGGTACTATATTGAGGGGACTGATAGATCAAAGGGACTGGATGAGAAGGAAGGAAGTGCTTACCGAGGTTGAGACAGGAAGGTGTGGGTCAGTCCGTGTGGCAGCTAAGACTGAGATGAGCCGGGATGGAGGACTGATCTTGTCGGCCGGAAGGGGTTCATGTTCGTGTCTCAACTCTCAAGCGATGCCGGCGCAGAGACCGGGAATGGTAGGAAACTATGCATGGTGATGCAGAAACAAAGATGTGGAGGAGCTGAGATCTTCTGCTGAAAATTTCTACTTGTTTGGTGGGTGATTGTGCGTAGCCAAGACACTAAGGCGTGAAGAGGGCAGGGGGGGGTCACCTGCTCCTGCATACATCCTAGCATCTTCAGTCTGGTTTTTCAGGCTAACTAACTACAGGTGAAGTTGATGATGATGATGTAGAGAACCCCATCGGAAGAATGTTGTCGTTCAATTTACTGCCGCTGAAATGACCGACTTGGTATCTCAATCACATGTTACGATCGCAATTGAGCTTATTAACCCAAAATATGAGGACCAATCCCTGTCAGCGCCATCTGCGCTTATCCTGATATCCCAACTCCCATATCAGTTCCACTAAAGGAGTTGTGCGCCTAACACTACGCATTCCGGTTGGAAATCGATCCAAAAGCCAGGCACTGATAATTCAGGAACCGCACACAGATGGTCCAAGTGCCCTTCGGTCGCGATCCCGACCCTCCGAAATGATCAGGACAGTCTAGACTCCGCTTGCAGCTCGCCTTGGTTGTCCCCTCTTCCCGCGACTTGGAATCTTCGATAGGGGGATAATACGGAGAACTATGGGAGTCTTTGCGGCCGCCGGGTTCCATCGACGGTACTTCTCCATCCAACCAAATTCGATGCAGTCCTCGCGCTATTGTCCTCTCCAGTCTCCACTTCGTTTAGGCTCGTCCGTGAGCTGCGTGACGTAGCCTCAATTGTCTCGGATCGACTACTTGGTAGGGAAACAGACTGAGAAGGGAATGGCAATTCTGTTAGGCGAATTGAAGGCAGCCTGTTGCCTCGTATAGACAGGCACGGGGGGAACCACATATCCATTGCCTGCCCTCACGGATGTCAATGTTCATGCACCTGTCATGCACAGAGACAGAAACCAAGCGTGACTCAAAACCGGTTTCGCTTGACCTTTCAGATCTGAATTTTCTAGCGTCAACTCGGGTTTCCACCACTCAGGGTCGACAGCCAGCAACGCCCTCCGAGAACAGTGTGTGTTCCTGACGATCCATATCTGTTTTCTCCTTAGTAAATATCTAACCCAGTCACCACACTACCGCTTTTTTTTTTTTTTTTTTTTTTTTTTTTTTCCACACCACGAACTGCCGTTGTTTCTGAATTTCAGCTTCTCGTCACTAGTACAAGCCGGATCGTTTCAATCCAGAAGCAACTCCGTCCATGACGACTACTCAGCCTTATGCGGAGGACTGCTTCCTCGAATCATGTCTCGCAACAGGGGGATGTCAACTCCTCATCTGCTGCAGCCGTTCCGGAGGAATTGCCGGAACGGCCACGCGAGGCCCCTCTTACCCCCCCTCCCTCTTCCGCTATGCGGCGTCTCCATCACCCCTGGAATAGAAACATAACCTAGACAGACTGACAGAGACATTATACGAGACTGCGTCCACTACTACGATACAACCACCTACCACGGAACACAGGTCCGTCAATCACAGCCTCCGAACAGATGCCAGGCAACTATGATATCGCACCGCATCAAACACCCGTTGACCCCAAAAAGATACATAACCGTACCCGGAAATTGCATCCGCCCAGGTAGCCAGAGATGAGCGAAACCTCGCACCCGATATATCCGACACTGACGATCTACAAGTCCAAAACCCCTGCTACTCTTGGCGGGCGGGGGGAGAGTCGTTGTCACACGTACGCAAATAACCGTCTCGTGATGAGTTTAGTGCCTAGTACAGCTACTTTCTATAGGTCCAACGGTTGCAGAGACAGGACAAGAGAGTAATTATATCCCCACCGCGGTAACTGTCATCAAACTCTATCGCGAGATCGGCATACCTAGTTCATCCTGAGGACGTGGCTTGACATACCCATGCGTGAATCGATTATTATCATTATCCAATATGAACAGGGTGTACTCATCATCATCAACCTTAGTTCCATGCAGATGCAGATGGGATTGGGGATCTCGATCTGTGGTAAATGCCGCATGGCGGAGGGTATTTCCCTATATGAGTAGCCTATTATTGTTCGTGGGTGATCGTCGCTGGTTAGGCTGTTTTGCTTCGTGGTACTACTACGTAGGAAGATAGGTCTAGATCTATATTTCGGAGTTGCTATTCCGTGCATCATGATGAATCTACAGGTAGTAGTAAGGTCTCCAACAGCAGCATGACACATAGTATCTCTCACATCTAACAACTTCCTAATCACTACGCCGTTCACGGAATTCTCAACAGACCCAACCCAGACCCAGACCCAAAGTCTCCCAAGCAAAGCATGATAACGTACGAAATACCGCAAGCCATCTCATCACAATTGCTCTCAACCCCGCACATAAACCAATAGACCAACCCAGACCACCTACAGTTGAAGTATCCCCATCACGTCAAATATATTAAATATGAGGTGTATGTTTCCCCAACACATGGAGATAAGGCGAGAGGGCCAACTGAGTTTTTGGTCCGAGCGTACGGTCCCCTACTAGATTAGACCTATGATTGAGTCGCGCTGTGTCACGTTGGACCTGTACGATCTAGTTTGCACCGATAAGAGTTTCATCTATACCGTTGAGACGGGGAGAGGCCTATGCGTATCTTGGATAATAGGGGTGTACAAGAAAAAGTAGATAGGTGCTGCGCACGGATAGCTTGTCTCGTATCTGGCGTTCTAAAGTGTAGGGTCTAGGCAACTCATATATTGGACAGGGCTAGATAATGAACGAATGATAGGACATTGACGCACGGATGCGCGGCTTCACATGTAATGTAATGATGACTCTGAATCTGGATCTCTCTTATGCTATCATATCTTTGAAACGCTAAATGCAAGATGCATGAACTTTTTCGTATATGCAAGGAGAAACACTTTTGGATGTATCGTCAATAGACCGTTTCATGTAGGTCAACCGGGGAGTTTATCTCGGCCGGGTATATACGAGTCTGCGCGACGGTCGCGTCGGAGAATAAGTCTAATAGTCTAGGTGGATTCCGCCACACGGTCGAAATGGACTTTCGAGTCTAGGTTGAAGAAGGTGTTGACGCCGGAGAGAAGACACACAATTGCTAGTTTTGTTAGCGTTGACTCAAAATTGAGAGTGGTAGGGAACAAACCGATAACGCAACTCATCTCGTAGTAGCCGACTTGTTCAGCGATGTAGCCGGAGATGATGGGTCCGATGAATGCTCCGAGCGTCCACCCCATACTGGCTACTGACAGAGCACGGGAGTAGCCTCCGTTGGGGCCGAAGATGCCGGGGTGCTTGGCTTCGACTTCGTCGATTGTGACTGTAGTTGTATTAGTTTGCGATCGTAGGCTTCCGTTGTTCGTAATCGTCAAGTGGAAGTACATACCCGTAGCTTCGATGGTTCCAGCCCCGTTCAGCAAACAGGACACTGATCCCACCACAGTAACACCGACAGCATAGATAACCTTCCCGCGGTCGCCCTCATTGGCCCATGGGAATCGCTCGTCACCAGGCATGCCGATCACCCACATCACGGGCGCAAGAAGCAAAAAGCCGACCGTGGTAGGCCATCGGGTCCCGACCCGATCTTTCAGCCAGCCACAGATGGGGCTAAGAAGGATCCCGGGACCTTGCAGAGCGAAGAACATCATACCAGCAGGAAAACTACCCCAGCTGAAGACATCGCGAACATGGAGAGGAAGGGTGGTGTCGAAGCTGGAGACCAGAACAGCAAAGGAAAGATAGCTGAGCACGCCGCAGACGAAGCGGCGATACCGCAAAATATACACATAAAACTTCCAGCCCGCCATGTCGCCCTCGAGGCCGGGATTGCTGCTCAGGAGAGGTGCGCGTTCAGGATCCGATGCGACACTCGCATTGCTAGAATAGTCCGCGTCGCCTTGGACGTCCGGCTTTTCCAGCATGAGCAGACGAAGAATAATGTCGAGGATAAGGATAATAAAGGCACTAGACCACGCTACCCAGTATCCGCCCAGTTCGAAAAGAATGCCCGCAACCATCGGACCCCCTGAGGTACCTGCTGCTACGACCAGAGAAATAACCCCGTATGTCTTGCCCAGATTTTCTGGTTGCACATTGTCCGCAATCGTGGCGTATCCGACCACCCAGATAAAGGAGCTGGCAATTGCCTGAATGAGACGTCCCGCGAAGAGAGTAAATGCTGTGCATGGTTGTCAGTATGCCCACATTCCAGAGATATGCGACATAGAGACCTACTTGATGTCGCCAAGGCCAGAACTATGGACCCAAACAACGCAGCTAACAGCGATCCAACGAGCAAGATTCGCTTGGAGGACATGCGATCGGCATAGTGGCCAATGAAAGGGCTTGTAACGAGAGCAGCGATGGCGGTTTCTGACAGCAAAGCGAAACTCACGCGCTGGGTGAGGGATACGTCTAATCCGAGGCGGTTTTCGAGAACGTAGGGGAGGATGGGAACGAGGAAGGCGTAGAGAAAGGTGTCTAGATAAGGCGACAGATATTGTAAGCGGAATCCCTCCCAGTAGGATAAACGCAGTCAGTTGGGGTGTTACCAGTGAACAAGGCCATGGCCATGGCGCTGACAATGAAAAGGGGCGATGACCGCCATTGTTGGCCCCATGCGCCTCCCTTAGAGTCGGAGAAAGTCATGGTGCCGTCGTACAACTGCAGACCAGTTGGGAATGAGGCAGAGAAGACATTGCGATGGAGCGCTGCTGATAAGGATTGAGGGATGGGTGTCAGCCCTTAGCTGGCACCCCAATCGGAGTCCGCGGCTAGCAATTCCGAAACCGAAGCCGGGGTTACTTATTAATCATCCAGCACGGAGTACGGAGTAATAGATGAGGATAATATACACCGCTTCCCATGATCTTCGGGCCATGCATGGAGGTGTCCCAACATAAACCTAAGCAGGTCATTGTTGGTGGGTATCGACCCTAGGGCCCGTGTTGACTGCAGGGAGAAGCAAACACCTTGCAGGGGAAATCGAACATGTTTTGCGGGTGGGGCAAATCCTGACCAGGCACTCAGGCAGCAAGGCATCCACAGCCCACTGGGGGTTTATCTACTAAATATGTCAAGAAATTGATGGAGGCTGACTCTAATATCCGACAAATAGCCTATGTTGATCAAGAATAAATGAATATAGCCTGTTTCAATTATTAGAGAGCGAATCCTGCATTCACACAGTATCTCCTCCGAGTTCAATGCCAAAGGCCATATCCCTGCAGGAAACACCTTCATTATCGACGCTCTGCCCACTGTCCGATAGGTGGTCCGACACGTCCTGCAAACCTAGAACAAGGGTTTTTGACACCTCTGTATAGGCTGGGCTCTGATCTTCTGCATCTTTCGTAGCCAGGACCGTCTCTGGTACTACAACGAGAGCCCTGCTCGTTGACTCTTTGTACAAGCCCGGCCACAGCGTGCATTGAACACGACTTGCAACCTCCTGGAAAGGCATAGCCTGCTGCATATAATCCGGGGTAAATTTATCTCCCAACGCACTGCGAAAGAAATGATAGCGGCTCAGTTGACGATCTAGATCGCGCTTGAACTGCATACACTCCCGCACAAGGGCACGCAATCGCATGGCCACAGTGGGCCCTTCAACGGAATAGTACTGCGAGAGCATTATCTCCACTTGAGATACCACCATGTTTATGTCGCTTTGCTCATCTCCAAGCTTCTCTACGGCCATGCTTGTGGCCGTGCGCCAGTGATGCTCAACATTTCCGGGGCCTGGGGTTCAAATCAGTCTCACTTTGACCTACAATAGATCGGAAGTCATACAATTCTGCCGTAGTGTCTCTGCAATAGACACGAACCTTGCCGATTCTTCATTGGGTATTCCTAGTAGGTATGAACTGAATATGCGCTGAAACAGAATTTGGCTGACGACAGAGGCGATAAACGCTGGAATCTCATGTGGGCCTCGAGGTACAAACATTGCTCCATTGCGCTCGAGATTCTGCCTGAGTTTGTTCAGCTGATCCAAGTCGCGAAAGTAGGTATTGGACCAGTTTCTAAGTCGCTGTAGGAGCCGTCTCATATTTTGTGCGATATCGTCGTCAGAGAGAATGTTTGGCTGAAAATTTAGAGCTTGTATCTGCTGAGTGAGTGATCGGATGTCCGATTTCTTTTTAGCCAGCTCTGATCTCATCGACTCCTTAGACTGCTGCGCGTGGTATAGTTGACGCCGAATGCCCTCTTCTACGTGACCCGTTGCCAGCGCAGCCTTTTCTAACCCTCTGTATAGTTCGGGGTTGTTCTGGGAATGTGAGCATGGGGATGTCATTACTGAATCGTCAACTGTGAAATCGACTCACGCGAAGAAGATGTTCGACAGGTGACAATCTTGGAGGCGACATATCGCCGTTGGTAGCAAGTCTTCGGGGCCTTTCCATATTGCGAAGGACATCAAGCATTGGGAAGTACTGGGAAACGATGTCGATGAACTGCTCCATGGTGGTAATTGCCGTTGTGTAAAATGCTGAATTCATCCTCCAAGGTCTTCGCCAACGTTGACTTCATCACTTCTGGCTGATCGTCATCGTGACTATGGGGACGGAAGTGATGCATGGTAATGACAGAATCCATCTCTCTTCGGCTCCTTAAATCCGCTCTGGCACCCCTCCTTTCACTTCCACATTTTCTTTTTCGTTTCTGTACGATAGTATACTACTGTGTCTCAAATATGTCGAATCCTCGTATCGTCATTGGGCTTGACTTCGGCACCACTTATAGTGGGTAAGAGATAATGATTTACCCAATCGTGATCGGGGAACTAATATTTGTCAGTGTCGCCTGGGCTTTGAGAGATTGTCCAGATAAGCCAGAAGTCATAATGTCGTGGCCTGGAGCTGGGAACCGTCTGTGGCGTCTTTTGATACGCTCATAAAACAATCTGCTGATAATTAGCAACAGGGACAACACCTAAAGTCCCTAGCACCATGGTGATCAAATGCGGCGGGCGTGTCCATTGGGGTTACCAAACCAACTACCTTGTTGGAGATAATATCCGGGGTATGAAGCTATTATTAGATGAGCCCCAGAATTCAGGATACGTAGCATCTTTGATAGATGCGGGACTCCTCAAAAGGTCGCGCATACCTGCGGTTACTTTGACTGGCATGTATCTGACAGGACTGGTTGACCATACCAAGAAGGTTCTCCAGAGGCGCTTTGGCCCGGCAGCCGAACAGATGGAGATGAAGTATGTCCTAACGGTGCCGGCCATCTGGTCTGATAAGGCAAAGGATGCGACCTTGAAAGCTGCTTCAAGGGCCAAAATCCCTCAGAAGGATATTACTTTGGTGTCTGGGCCAGAGGCGGCAGCTTTGTACTGCCTCAATGCAATTCAACCTAACTCCATCGAGGTAAGTTGGAGTACGCGATAAGAAGAGCTTCTTTTTTACGTCGAATGCAGAACAACGATGTTGTCGTAGTATGCGATGCCGGTGGTGGTACTGTGGTAACTAAGCCTATCCCCACATGGGTGACTATTTTGCAATTACCATGGCTGAACACGACAGGATCTCATCTCATACTGCGTGAAGACGGTGTCTCCATTGCGCTTGGAGGAGGTATCCGAAGGCAGCGGTATGCTATGCCTCCAGACAAGACGCTATCTAAATCGGCTGACAAAAGCAGGTGACATCTGTGGATCGGTTCTGCTCGATGCCGCGTTCAAGGCTTTTCTTAATGTCCTGGTGAATGATAAACATCTAAGTGGAAAATCCTCCGAACTGGCGTTGAAGTATTGGCAAGATCAAATCAAGCCCAATTTTGCGAGTGACCCGGACTTTGAGGAGGAGACCCATTTTGTACCTCTGCCTGGATTGAAGGATAACCCTAAAATAGGTCTACAAGATGGGTTTCTTCAGCTGGAAGGGTGAGTAAATCTGCATCATCGAAGCATCCCTGCGCGCCTTGAAGCTAAACTCTAAAACTATAGTGCTCAGATTAAGAAGTTCTTTGATCCGATCGTTGACCGAGTCAAGGTGCAAATTGTTCACCAGGTTAATAGTGCTAGAGCCAAGAATATGCCAGTGAAGGTGAGTACATCAGTTGATTTAGGAGCGTGGCTGATTATTAACGGTAGGCAATCCTTCTGGTGGGAGGATTCGGGTCATCCGAGTACCTCTATCACTGTATTCAGGAAACATTCAGTGACATTGTTGTGATGCAGCCACCAAACTCGTAAGAAGTTAAAGAATGTCTTTTATGATGCCCAGGCTAACAAGCACTAGTTGGTATGCTGTGATGCTGTGAGTCTCTTAAGGTAGACAGGGTATTGGCGCAGCCTGCTTACCTTAATCCAGTGGTGCGGTCCGATATGGTTTGGGAGGCAACCAGGTTACGAACCGAATTGCTCGATGCCACTATGGCATTTGGCATGAAACACATAATCCCGAGACAATGGCTAAGTTTCCAGACGCAAAGAGATTCTGGGATGACTTGAAGGAAAGGTGGTATATTCGCGACATGATGAAGTGGTATATCCACAAGGTAAGTACTCAGTCGATGATCTCCAGCGGACCTTGCAACTGTTGCTCATTACTTTGTAGGGCGACGAGATTCACGAAGGAAAACCCATTCGGATGGGTTTTGACACTACCGTTGCTGTTGGCAGAACGCCCAGTGTTACAAGCAGACTAAAAATATGCCTTCACAGTGAAGCGCCAGAACGTAGCAATAGTAGTAGGCAACTAACATTTTTATGTTCCACTGAGGTACATCAGCTAATTACTATGCAGGTGTCTACCAGTTGTGTACCTTGACAACTGATTTAAGCAGTGTACCCACTCAATACTTCACAAAACACACGAACAGCAAAGGCACAGAGTACTACACTATTAGTCATGTCATGATTATGACCCCGGGGTCCGCCTCACTTAAATTCGAGCTGGAGTTTAATGGCCAATCGTATGGGGAGGTTCAGGCTACTTATTTCGATTGAAAGTCGCACTCGGACACTCCGACTGCGGTGTGTTCAGGATACTGATCGTGCTTTTTTTTTTAAACTAGCGTAGCCATAGGGATTTTTATTCGAAGTCTATCAACACGTCCAATAAGTGCATAGTGATAGCTCAGAGGTATTGACGCTTCCATATAAACTCATGCGTCTAGACAGCCTTCTAACTGTATTCCCTCGGAGACCACACCACCCCAACCAACCATCAAATGATCTAAAACAGCTAATCAAATTTAAGAAACCCCTCGCTGCCCCCCAGCTTCGCCAAGCCACCCAAATACCCCAAACCTGCAGCAAACAACCCGGATAAACACCTGCATTGGCCACCCCGACGCAGATCTTCCGCGAATAGCGTCGTGTTACGGTGAGCGGAGTTTACCCGCACCTCCGCATCCGGATAAAAACAGAGCACATCAATGCGATTGATCATAGGCCGAATTGGTGCTCAATGTTTGTAATAAAGAGGGGTGAACATCCCCGTTACTTTCTCTTCGCATACGCCGTACCGACAGTGCACAATGCGCCTGCCACGCTGCCTAAGCGTGATTCTCCTAGGGTTGGAAGCGGCGCTCGCCGAGTCCACCCAAAAATGGAGCATTCAGGATTTCAAAACCTTGGTCACCTTTGGTGATAGCTATACGGACGATACGCGAATCAGCTACTTCATTAATCATAATGGGTCTGCGCCGCCAGTGGGCTGGGTCGAGCCTATTGTATGTTCCCCAGACACCACACACACTATCCCGACCTCCAAATGCACATAAAAACCTACATCATATACACCGCTAACAAATACCTCCAGACAAACGAATCCGCCTCCGGCGGCTACATCTGGGGTCACTTCGTGCACCAATACGCCCACCTATCCCACCGGTACAACTACGCCATCAGTGGCGCCTCCTGCTCGAACAACATAACCCCCCGAACGACCTCCTTCGGACTCTACCCCTCCGTCCTGGAATACGAAGTCCCAGCCTTCACAGCCGACAACGCCTACCACATTCCTAGCACGGGAGAGAAATTCCTCCAAAACGATCCAGACAGCACAATCTACTCCATCTGGATCGGGACGAACGATCTGGGGAACTACGCGTTCCTGACTGATTCGCAGGTCGCGAACAAGACGATTCCGGATTACGTTGACTGTGTGTTCAATGCCCTCGATGGCGTGTACAAAGCCGCGAAGGGAAAGTACTTTGTTATTATGAACATGGTGCCGTTGCAGTTAGCACCGCTGTATGCGACGCCTGAGAATGGGGGCATCGGGGCAAATAATTACTGGCCTGATAAGTCGGGGAATTTCACCGAGATTAGTTATCGCATGTGGGAGCAGGTGAGTACCGTTAATCAGGTTTATGATTATCGGACGCCGTTTGAGTGGGTTGTTGGGAAGAGGTATCCTGGGGCGAAGGTCGCGGTCATGGATATGTATTCATTGGTGAGTATACTTCTTCCCTTGAGGGGTTGAGGTGTGATGGTTGCTGATCTGCGCAGATCTCGGATATATATTATCATCCGGAGCAGTATCTTAATGGATCTGCACCGGCGAATGTTACGGGTTATATTCACCATTGTAATGTGGCGGGATCGGAGTGTGAGACGCTGTCGAGTCCGGATTCGTTTCTGTGGTATGATCAGTTGCATCCGTCGAAGCGAACGGATGAGATTATTGCGGAGGAGTTTATCAAGGTAGTGAAGGGGGAGAGTGAGTATGCGACATATTGGTCGTAGGGTTCATGACTTAGGTAGTATATACGATTCGATGATGCAGTCCACGAGTAGTCGAGATAGAGGTATAAGGGGATCTGGAATCTTAGGGGAATATATCTTTTATTTACCAGCAGTACACAATGATCACTGAAGCCATTCATTAGACCCCATAATGATTCTTTACATTCATTGGATTGTAGAAGTTTTCATTCCACAGATAATAATGTGGTGTGTCTATTAGACCTAGTGACGATCTACACAACATCGAACTCGATAGTCCCCCATCCCTCAAACGTACATGTCCACTGACCAACCATCATAGGAATAGCCTCCAGACAACTTCCGGGCATAATAACCTGCCCTGCCTGGAACTCAATATCATATTCCGCCAACCGATTCACCAACCACGCCACAGCCGAGATCGGATTCCCAAGAACATTCTTCGTATTCCCTGTCATCAGCTCCTTGCCATTATGCTTTAAGACACCACGGGTATCATTAAGAGTAAGGTCGGTAAGCTTGCGCGGCGTTCCACCAAGTATAATAGCCCCAGTTGACCCGTTATCCGCAAGCGTATCCGGCAGATCAATCGCCCAGTTCTTCACGCGGGAGTCAATAATTTCAATAGCAGGAATAGCATAGTCAATGGCATTGATTACATCCGCCACGGTGATATTAGGACCTTTCAGGGGCCCATTCAGAACGAAAGCAGGCTCGAGTTCGACGAACGGCTTGATGAATTTATTCAGGTGGATAGGCGTGCCTTCGTAGATGAAGGAC